CTCGAGAGGCGCAGAGACACAGCCCCATCGCCCCACCTCGCTCCTGAGGCAGCAGCTCTTGTTGCCTAGAATGACCCTGATGATGCAGTGGTGGCGGTGGGTACCGCGTTACTTCATAGCCGCTGCGCAGGTGGTGCCACGCGCTCTCCGCATCCCTCCCCCATCCCCCGAATCCACCTCCACCCCCTCCCCCTCATCCCCCCATCCCCCGAATCCACCTCCACCCCCTCCTCCCCCCCAACCCCCTCCCCCCCCACCCCCCGTGGGTGTCTTAGCAGTGACAACCACTGCACGTGTTTACGAAGCGCCGCTGCGTGCGCGACGATTATCTGACGCGGGCCCTGGGCCCTCTCCTAGGTCGACTCGGCCTCAAATGAGTGCCCTTGTGCGATGTGTAAACATCGTCACTGGGGAGACAATGACAGCCGGGCGTAGTGCTGGCCACCCGCCCCCTCGTGTGCCATCCCGGCCATGTGCTTCTCGCGAACAGCACTTGCCACAACAGTCTGTTAAGCCTATACGGGGGATTTGTCTTTTGTATGGCTGAGGGAGAGTCAGGTTGTGTGTGTCTTTGTGGGTGTGTGTGTCTTTGTGGGTGTGTGTGTCTTTGTGAGTGTGTGTCTTTGTGGGTCTTTGTGTGTGTCTTTGTGGGTGTGTGTGTCTTTGTGGGTGTGTGTCTTTGTGCGTGTGTGTCTTTGTGGGTCTTTGTGTGTGTCTTTGTGTGTGTATGTGTCTTTGTGGGTGTATGTATCTTTGTGGGTGTATGTGTCTTTGTGGGTGTATGTATCTTTGTGGGTGTGTGTCTTTGTGTGTGTATGTGTCTTTGTGGGTGTATGTATCTTTGTGGGTGTATGTGTCTTTGTGGGTGTATGTATCTTTGTGGGTGTGTGTCTTTGTGTGTGTATGTGTCTTTGTGGGTGTATGTATCTTTGTGGGTGGGGAGCGGTGGTGTGGCGATTAGCGCGCTGCGCTACGAACATGGCGACCCGAGTTCCCGCTCACGGCCAACATCAGTGGCGATTATCTGAATCTGTCATGGTCCTCATCGAGGTCGACTCAGCCTCAAATGGGTACCTGGTGCGACGTGTAAACATCGCCACGAGGGAGACAAAGGCGGCTAGGCGTGGTACTGGCCACCCACCACATCGTGTGCTGTGTCGGCCATCATATGTGCTCGCTAACAGCACTTGCCCCAACAGTCTGTTATAGGCTATACGGGGGATCTTTGTCTTTGTGGCTGTGTCGGTGTGGGTGTGTCGGTGCGTGTGCGAAAGCGATGTCGCAGTCGCTAACGCACTGCGCTACGAAGCCGACCACGGCTCACATTAGCGGTGATTCATATCAGAACCAGTCCTGTGCTTCCACTAGGTCGTCTCAGCCCTCAATTGAGTACCTGGTGTATGTATAAATCACTCATCAGCACCGGGGGAGACAAAGACGGCCGTGCAGTGGTTCTGGCCATAACACTACCCGCTCGTGCGCCGCGGACGGCGGTGTTACGGGCCCCTTAATAGGTGCTCGCTAACACCGGTTGCCCCGACAACCTATGGCGCAGCATGCTGTTCATCTGCTTCAATGATTCTTGGGCCAAACACCCCCTCCACTAAAGTGGCACTGCCCAGCCTCTCTGTCAGAGCCGAGTTGTAAACAAACCAAGACCACGCCCACCACCACTAGCCCCGCCCCCAGCCCAGCCCCCACCCCCACCACCCCAGCCCCCAGCCCAGCCCCCACCACCACCACCCCCACCCCAGCCCCCAGCCCAGCCCCCACCACCACCACCCCCACCCCAGCCCCCACCCCAGCCCCCACCACCACCACGCCCACCACCATTAGCCCCGCCCCCAGCCCCCACCCCAGCCCCCACCACCACCACCACCCCCAGCCCAGCCCCCAGCCCAGCCCCCACCACCACCACCCCCGAAACTTCTCCGCAGCAAACAACAGCGGGAACACGCATTGGGGTCACGTGGCGTCGCCTGCGATAGCCCCTCCCCCTTCACAGAGCCCCCCCTCATTCCCCCACCCCCAGCGTTGCCCAACAAGGGAGGGAGTCACGTGATTGGCTCGCGCCAGGGATGTTATCTAATCCTGATATGAACCATTAACAATCATCATCATCATCATGGACAGCATCACTGTCATCATCAGCCAAGGCTGTAATCATCTATTCACTTGAAAACACCCATTGTCTTTCGTCGACATGAACATCGTCATGAACATTATCAACAAGTTCACTAAACTAATTATCATCATCAATTTCGACTACTGTGTCATAATAAACAGTCATCGTCCACATCGTTAACCATCATTATCCCATTATCCCATTAATCATCAACATCATCTTGACAAGAACATCATAGTGCCGTCATCATCATTTACTTTCATTGACCGTTATCCTCGTTAAAGACCAACATCATCATAACATGCATAAACACCGATCACCAACATCATTCTATCCATTGTCAACATCACGATATACAGTAGTGCTTTCAACATCAGCAGCATCATTAGCATCGTCGCCACGATAATAAACATCAGTCAACATCACCATCCTCCCATTTATCATCACGAGATCATCACCAAATAGAACGACCATCACCACCACCATCATGAGAATCACTCTCACCACCATCAACATCGTGATCCCCACCATCATCTTCCACCATCAGCATTACAATCATCACCACCATCGTCCTTACAACCATCACCACCATCACCCCACCATCATCACCCCCGTTACCTGCGCACTCCTCAGCAGTCGCTGCGCAGCGCGGCCTTGTCACGTGTTGCTGTCGCTGCTGCTGCCGCGGATTTCTACTCGCCCGCGTATTGATGCGCAACGTGGATGCCCGCGGCAGCTGCAACGCAATGAGAATAAATAATTAAAATTGTAATAAATCAGCCCGGTGTCGATCATTTGCTGGATGAAGGTTCTCCATACGCCGCGGTGGTTGTGGGGGTTCTTTGACCATACTTTACTCAGCTAGTCAGGGCGGGTTGGTTCAAGTTTCACGTTTCATTTATTAGGTATAGCCCTGTGAGACATTCGGGTCTTGAATCGGGTGCAACCGCAACAAACAAAACACATGAATAAGAAAACATCTTAAAGCGACTATGTGCAAACAGAAAATCCAAAAAAAGACAGCAAAATATTGCAGAAAAGGCACCGGACACCAACACTGTGTGCAAACATCCCAGTGGGAAAGTGTGTGGCTCAGCACTGGTGTGGGTACCACTCGCCAACCACGTTAGTCATGACCGGGAATTGAACTCAAGTCGCCAAAGTCGACGCGCAGTGCGATAACCACCACTGCACCGCAGCACATGCTGTGAGCGGTGGGGCGGCAGATGTAGTTTGTCGTCAGCAGAGGGAAGTTGCATAAATATATTGTTTTGTACTTTTATGCTCCTCCGCCTTTACCATCCTCCACGATCCGATGAGCTATGAAGCTTCTTTTCACAGTAATACAGACTGGGCACACCACTGTTAATTTACTCGGTAGGCGGTGTGTGGTGGGGTCAAGTGTGAAATATCCACCTCTTCAAAAACGTCCGGTCATCGTGAAAAAGTAGGCCAAGGGTTATTTTATTACTTATATTTCTCCACAACGACACGTGATTATTTTAAACAAAAAAATACTTAACACCGAAGATTCATCAATAATACTGCCTTAAAAGGAAAACTACATAATAGTAATGGATATTGACCATTGTCTGACACGTTGCTTGTTCTATATTTTTTCACTTTAAGGCAATGTTATTGACGCACATTTTGAGTGTGATGATTGTTGTATAGATTATTCATTAATGTGCACCAAACGATTCTCTGGCAAGTGCTTTAAAAAAATGTTTAAACGTACCTGGTTCAGCCTGGCATTTAGAGATAAAGATGAACACCCTTCGACAAATGTAAGGTTTGACATTAACCTGATTAATATTATTGCTGCATCGTATTAAATTTAAATTTGAAAATAATAATTATGTGCAAATGCCTTGGTTTGAAAAACAAAACGTCTTCCACAAATTCTTCAAAAATATTTCCTTAAAAGAAATAAATTATCATAGGCGACGTTTCGGGTAATGGCCATTCTTCATACTACACAGAGAGTCCAAAGAGATAACAAGAGTTGGGGACTGCACTTGTTTACATCATGGTGTCAAGTGTTATTGACGAGTGTGTTGAGTTGTTGTTAATTGTGCTCTTGGCCCACTGCCAACGCAGCAGCTACAAATAATGTGTTTGGTTCAAGAAAGGCCCCTTTGGAGAAATATAATTCGATTGATTGACCAGGCAGGAAACTGCTGAGCCTGGCAAATCGAGTATTGCGTGGCAATATTTTTCAGGAGTAAAATGTCAATATTGAGGTCTGCTAGCCACTAGAGGGCTTCACGAGAAAATTCGTGTAGTTTTGATATTCATCCACACAAAATCAAAAGTGTATTTCCCGAGGAAAACCAATCGAGCTAAGAAGCATTCCACAATTAGATATTTAAAACACAAACTTAATAACAGCAATTATGTTGCAAAATTATATTCACACTTAACTCTAGCTATTTTGATAGTTTAAATGAGGATAGTGATGGCAGAACGTAGATGCCAAGATTTGAAACTAAGTGGTTCCAAAACTTTGGGGCAGCTACATTAAATGCTTTTGCAAAATCTGGGAACTATTAACAGGCATTCAGACGCGCGTCGCAGACTTTTGGAACTGTCCAATGGCAATAACAAGTCAGACAAATAAAGAGCATCTCTACGGACAATATCCTTGTATATTAAAATATCCCAGATTACAGTGGTACTATCACCAAATAATGTGTTTGGTTCAAGAAAGGCGGCCTTTTTGAAGCCACAGCTCCAATGATTGGCCAGGCTGGAAGCTGCTGAACCTGGCACGCCACCACGTGCGTCCCAATTTCAAATCCCAAATCCGCGCTCCCATTGGTCCAAATCCAAAGCGGCTGCTCCAACCACGCGGGTCTCTTTCACCCGTCACGTGGGCGCGCTCGCGGCCAATGGGCGTCGTTGGAGGGCGGCGCTCAGCATTGGCGATGGAGGCCGTGGGCCGCCGCCTCGCCTACTCCGTGCACAAGTGGTCGAGCTACTCGGCCTCCTACGTGCCCGAGTGAGTCAGTGATCGCGCCGCGACGAGGTTGCTGTCTACCCCTGCGCCAGTGCGAAGTGTCGCCAATTGCTTCGTGCGTTGATATTTTGACATTGCCACCCCGCCGCCATTACGCTCTTGCTTGGGCCTAGTCGTGGCCTACGCCCCCCCTACTTGCCTGAGCCGCTGGACCGATTGAGGCGCACGAGTCCTAGCCGAGGGATCCATCCCAGAGCCGTCGCAGCTCCGCGGGGGTGCTTGCGTGCGGGGTGGGGGAGTCAATATAAATGTTTGTACAATAGTTTAATCGCTTTTAGTTGGTGCACATTGGAGATTACGTGCAAAGTAACGTAAGCGGGTGGATGCGCTTCGTGAGCGGGGAGGGTTGGCGAGCGTGTGGTTGCGGTCAAGGATAATTACGGAGTGGAAGCCAAAGCTTGCAACGCGCCCCAGAGAGAGAGAGAGGCCGATACGTGGAGATGGAGCGACGGGAACGACTTCGTGTGTGGACGTTTGGTGGATTGCTACATCGGGGGGTCCAGCAGTGGATCGGTCATGATAGATAGCGTTTGTTGAGCGGTGTTCCATAAACATGAATGGCTGTGGTCATGTCAATTGATCACCTGACGCGTCGCTGAGTACGTAGACGAAATCAGTCCTTCAGCTTTGTGTAAAGTCGTGGAAGCGGCTTTATTAACATTTGTAGCGGGAGGTTGGTGGCCGGTTTTGTAAAACGAATTGAGTCTTAAGCAGTCTCTAATACAACTTGCACAACAACGCCAGTGGTTGCACTTAGCAGTGTGTATTGCCGAGCGAGTAGTGAGTGCGCATATGAACCACTCCACGACTCCGCTTGACGAGTGTGCGGTATAGTACGTGCTATGCGTTGAATGGGATCCAAGAGTGTATATTCAAGATAATTGGTTTTTTACCCTTCTATCTGGCAACAAAACTGACACCTTTTTACAAGGAGTCATGTTTGCATAGACCACAATACCTGCAGCCATAATGCAAACAAAAAACATAACTGATAATATATGCACTGTCCTTGAAGTTGGTTGGTCCACACCCGAGACAGCTTTCCTTAGAGCCTAGTCTCACATGGGTTGGACCAGATGACGCCAAAAGGCGCACAACTCAAAGACAGAGACTTGTGTTGCCTCCGAAACGTCGTGATCTTTATTTTATTTTATTATTTTTATTAATTTTGATGTTTTACCTACGTGACTTTACCGAAAACACCTAAGAATATAACTCAAAGACAATGCACCATCAGAGTATAAGAGCTCGGGTAAGCATTTACACCATTGGAACCTCATTTGCCAGTAAAAATATGATAATTGGTTTTTTACCCTTCTATCTGGCAACAAAACTGGCACCTTTTTTTACAAGGAGTCATGTTTGCGTAGACCACAATACCTGCAGTCATAATGCAAAAAAAAGGTGTCAGTTTTATATTTTATATTTTTTACTGGCAAATGAGGTTCCAATGGTGAGTGTATATTCAGTATATGAAGTGCTCTTGCCAAAACACCCGTCAACCCAGCAACTTCTATTTGGCAAACCTGTCTTCCGATGAGACCGGGAAAGTCGAAACGGGTCCATAGTTTGCATGCTTAAACACATGCTCCTTAATAGTTTGGTCTGGAAAGCCTGTATAGGCTGATGTACTAAAAACGGGTTTTTATTCATTTGTGGAGATGCAGGATTACTTTTATTTGCCGGTAACCACTCGAGTCGTTCTGCCATGTAATATATGAAAACCGTGAAATTAACAAATTCGTCAGCAACACCGCCTTTAAACGACGCGTATATGAAAGGCGACGTTTTGCCCAAATGTCCCTTCGTATCAAAATAAAGTCTAAAGAAGTAGGAATATAATTTGCTATGTGATCGTCTCCGTATCAGGGCGACGTTAATGAGCTTAAGTGGTTGTTTCACGTTGTAATGTAGACCAATGAGCGGATGCGTACAGCAGCTGAAGTCGGTTTACGTAGTTTGTGTCGGAGAGCACTCTGCGTTTGGTATAAATTAATGTCATTGTGGCTTGTAAGAGGAGGTTCGTAAGTAGTATCGTAAAACTACTCGAGTGTTTTTTTTTAAATACAAGTCAATGCATGCTTTTTACAAACGCCTTGAATAGCTGCACGTGGTCTGCAGTGTTATCTTGTGTGACAGAACTCGAATTGCACCCTCATAACGAAGCGTAGCTTAGCGAGCGAGTAGATTGTAAATGCTTGAGTGGTTTTATTTTCTAACTTGGATAAGGACTGTTCAATATAAATGAGGTTCGGTGTTTAAATTAGCAATGTCGAATAACGAGCGATTTCATACAGCAGAGCCACAATCCCTTGCGACGCAACAGTTCTCTATATATAAAATAACAAGAAACAATAGACTTTATTTCACCAGCAGCAAACTCATGACAGCATCATGTCTTGTTTGCAAGGGTAACCTGGCTTAATGTTACAGGACAGTTAAATACAGACATAACCAGGGAGAGCATAACATAATTCAACACAGATTGTCAAGCTTGGAAAATGTATGCCACAAGAAAAATTATACAGAGTGGAAAATGCTGCTTCGGTTTCTCTTCTTGGCTGAAGAAAATAAACTAGTTTAGTTCAAGAGTTGCCACAGAGAACAGGCAACTTCGTGGGTTGCCATCGCTCTGTGGATTTTGCTTGATGAGGTTTGTGTCTCCCCGTGTCGTCGCCCACCAGAAACATCCTCGTGGACATCTCCAACGACCAGTCGTCACGATGGTCCTCGGACAGCAACCACCCTCCGCAGGTGCAGAGGGAACACTGCTCGAGATCCTACTACCATTTATTATGTTCAGTTCTGCATCGCGCGTCCTTCCAAATTGCATCTCACACTCGTCGAGGAGGCACAGAAAAAAACTGGAAGGCAGCAGCCAACCAGTGTGCCGGCGCCAACAATTTCCCAAACTCTATATATTAAGATGTTGTTAGCCAATTAATCGTCTATACGTACGCAACACAAAACAATCGCCAAACATCGTTGTGGAGAACTGTAATGACAACATATTGCCATGTTTATTTCTGCACGTTAAATGTCACTGGTGTTTTTGACAAATTCTATTGGCGACACGGCCTTCTAGTAGTGCACATAATCAGCATTGGCTCAATATAAGCAAAACATTAGACTGTTTTGACATTGTTTCTCACCAGCAGTCAGGCTTGCTCAAACCATTTCTGGTGAACTACCTGGTGTATTAAAGTGTTTTCCCTAGGAAATTCACGATTCATCAATTGGTCGGTTGAATTCTAGTTTTAGGCTCTTACGATACTTAAATCACATTCAGAGATTGCACCTCAGACCTTGCAAGTCCAGCGTGCTAACCATTCAACCTTACAGCAGCATCCCGCCGGTTGAAGAATTTAAACTGTGAAACCTGTGTGGTCGTTGTGAGTAATGTTCCCCCGCTGCGTGTTCTGATCTCGCTCAGTTCCTACTGCTGAAGCTGGCACGCACGGCTGTGGTGCAGAGCATCACGTTTGGCAAGTACGAGAAGACGCACGTGTGCAACCTCAAAAAGTTCAAGATTTACGGCGGCATGAGCGAGGACAACATGACGGAGCTCCTGGCTAGGTCGGTTTATGTGTTTGACCCAGAAATATGTAGGGGTCGAGAGGGGTAATGGTTGGGATTGTGAGGCCGATGTAAGAACTAAGCCTTTGTGTTAAACAGAACTAGAGTTGTAAATGTTTATTTTTGTCTATTGTTTTTCAGTTATACTACATTTGAAAAATGTATAATTTGTAGTAGATTTCTGTAAAAAAGTATCTTAAGTGTTCAGTGCATTTAAGCCAGCTGCATCGTTGTGGTTGAGGATTGTATTTTATTGTATTTCCTCTTTTAGTTCCCACTGACAAAGAAAACATTCCACTTAATAACGCATTTGTGTGCTTTGCAGCGGCCTGAAGAATGACCACAACAAGGAGACCTTTTCACTGAAGCATAAGATCGAAGATCAGATGTTTCCTTGCCGCTGGATTAAAATAGGTGCGGGCTTGGGCACTTGCGTCGATGCATACATTTTTTTTACGAATATCGATATTTAATAAGCTCACCGATCATATTGTCAGTCATGATCAATCGCTTACCTGAGCCATCGACCATCTCATTTGGTTGGCTAAGGCGATGAAGTCATTGTGTGATGTCATCTCCTGACGTCACCCATCATGCATTGTGTGACAGCATCTCGTTTTGCGGCTCGTAAATGTATTGCTGTTATCCGCTAATTAAATACGTCTAGAGAAAAACACATTTTGGAAAGCCTTATATAATCCATGCATATGCGTTATTGTTCTTATAATTGTCTATTTGTGTGCCCAGTTCCCATCCTGTCATGGGGCCCCAGCTTCAACTTCAGCATCTGGTACGTGGAGATGCACGGGGTGGACTCTCCTGATGTGGTGCTGCCCTGCCTGCATTGGTACAGCAAGGTGCGTCTCGTGATAAAGACGCCCAGCGAATCGCGTAGAAATGTCTGCAGACTCCATACAAATTGCTTTTATAAGCGATCTTAATACAGAGCATCCCAGGTTCCTTTGCAACAAAAATAAGGCAAAGTAACTGGCCAATCCACACTGCTCAAAATTTAACTAATGCAAATAAAACTGACGATGTGATTATTGAACTTTGTATTGTACAGTGTATCATGGTGTTTCCATATGGCAGGAAACCTACTTTATCTCCTGCTGTTGTTGCGTGTGAATCCACGAGTGCTGGGAGCACCAGGCCATCTGGCTGTTCCGCAAGCTGCAGCATTGCGAGGCAGTGTGACCCCACGTTATTTAGCATCAAGATAGTCTAGAAAAAACGCGTTGGAGCAATCTAACCAAGAAATAACAGATGCACACACTGACATCTCGGCGTCTCTTTTATCGGCGAGAACGGGGCTTAATTTCACAATTGCTGGGTTGCTGGTGGACTGGAGTAGTAGGCGGTAGATGACTAGGAGACATAGCCATCGTTTCCGTCCGCACAGTACCGCGAGCGGGAGGCGATCCGCTTGTGCCTCAAGCACTTCCGTCAGCACAACTACACGGAGGCGTTCGAGTCGCTGCAGAAAAAGACGCGCATCGCCCTGGAGCACCCGACGCTCACGGAGCTGCACGACCGCCTCGTGCTCAAGGGCGACTTTGCCGCCTGCGAGCAGCTCGTGGAGAAATCCGTCGGCGGTGAGGCCACCGCACGTCCGCACAGACAGGCGGACATACCGGCCACTGTGCGCACGCTTCTAGGTGTGCAGCGAATCATCCGTTATGGTTTGATTTCGAACGCTTTGCAACTGTTTGTGTTGGCACTGACCGTCGCTTCTGAACGCGGCAGGTACGATAACTCTGGTACAGATGATCCAGCGCGAACAAACTGAGTATAAAGTTGTGTTGCTCTTAGAAACTTACTGTGTTGGTAACTGGATAAATTATAAAAGGGTTTCCCAAACCGTGGGCACACAAACCAGTGCTCAGGGGACTGTAATTTTCAACGTGTTTTGCCCTGACAACTGCCTGTCAGCTTCTGCTTTTGTTGTTTTGCTGTAACTTCCCACTGCTGGGCGAATGTCTCCCCCATTGCATAGTAACACAAACCTGCATTCAACTCGCACTTTAATTGGCGAGTTTATAGAGAATAAATTATTATAATTTACTATCCTCTGCCAATCCATTGCTGGATGGAAGGCATCTCCATGCCATGTCGTTTGACTATACTTCACTATTCTAGTGAATGTGCATTGAAGGGGCTCCCTGGACCAGTTCCGATATGTCACTCGCCGCTGATGTTAGCTGTAGCCGGGAATTCAGCTGAGGTGGCCGGGTTTATAGCACAGTGCACTAATCGCCTGCACCACTGTTCCACGACAATTTCTAATTATGGTTTGCAAATAATAAAAGCGCGGGACATCTTGTGAGTTGTTTCGACACTGCTTGTCGTTTTAGAGGGGCTGTTCAACCACTACATCAGCCAGCAAGAGTACAAGCCCAGGTGGATGCAGATCACACCTAAGAGCTACAAAGGTGGGGTTCTTGCAGCTGATGTTGCGTTCGGGAGCTGCCTTGCAGGAATTACCCCTAGTCTCGCTTGTTGACAACAGGGCACTGACCTCATCTGCTGTTGTGTCCTCAAGATGACGGCGATGACAGCCGACCTGGGATGCGTGGAGGCCACCAGATGGTCATCGACGTCCACACAGGTGAGGGCGGACAGTCCCGGCAGGTGGCCTGTCTGTGTCTAATTCCGCATTTGCCGTTAAAATGTTAATTAAGTTGATTGCGAAACTCGTCTCGCCTGACTCACGAGTTGCAGTGCTGATGATGCTGCTTGTGAAGTGAATCAAATTACTCGGGTGATGCTGCTACACTCAATAACACCGTGGCTTTATAACATTTAGAGAGGCACCTTTATTTAGTGAATGAATAAGTAATCTGATTGGCAACTTGCACAAGTATTCCAGTGGGTTGGCTGCCACTTGATTTTATACGAATGAAAAATCTAATAACTTGTGTTGCCATTAAGACAGCACTGATTGAAATTAAGATCCGGGCAGCTAAATCGCAGAAAGCTGGTGCAGTCGGGAGCACAGATGGTGCATCTTGCCAATCAATATAGTCTGTCAACACATAACACTTGTGCCTGCCCCGTGACCTCGTGCCAGCGAGCCTTCGACAAGTCCCGTGGCTTCACAAGCACTAGGTGATGTCACCACAAATTAATGTCAAATGGAAGTCGTACCATGTTAATTAAGATATTATACAGGGCTGATGATGTTGATGAAATGCAACCTGCTTCAAAGCAGAGGTATAATGTGATGCTCCCCTGACCGCCCGCGTGCCACAGAGACCGTCTACCTGTTTGGAGGGTGGGACGGAACTCAGGACCTCGCGGACTTCTGGGCGTACAGCGTCTCCAACGGCCAGTGGACATGCATCTCCAGGGACACCGCCAAGGAGGTTAGGTTTTATTTCTATAATCACCGGCAAAAAAAAACGGTTTAATCCTGAACGTGCGATAAGTGGCACGTCGCGAGATGAAGACTCCCGTTTCGCAACTCTCTCAGAGCAGTGCAACCCCTTTCTGTCGGCAACTGGTCCGCAGATGCGGATAGTGCAGAGTTCCGTCTTTGAGATCCCATCAAGTGACCTCAGTAGGTGGCACCACTTTCCCACCTGCCTTGCCTTTTAATGTCCGTCACGTGACAGTCAAACTCGTATTTTTTTATTCCCAGAGCTAGAACATAGCCAAATTAATTGCAGAACCATATTTAATGTGATGCAATCATTGGTAACCAGGCTGACATCATCATCTTGCTTTGCTTGAGAACCCAGTTTAATTACAGCCAGCTGCCTGGATTTAAACCCAGGATCTCAGCGGTGTAGCAGTGGCATCTTGATCGGCGACCCAAGTTTGATTCCCGGCTACCGCTTACGCGAGTGGCGAGTGACATCTGAACTGATCCTGCGCCCCACAACTCCAGCCCGCACTGACCAGCGTGTCGAAGTATGGTCAAGCGGGTCCCCCCATGACCGACATGGCGTGGGGAAGCCTTCATCCAGCAGTGGATTGACTAAAGCAGCGTGATTCATGATTAATTGTAAAGCACTGCTATGGGCTACGCTGGAACTTCCCAATCACGGTAGACTCAGCAGCAAACACTGAACAGGGTGGTGTTGATGAGCTCAAAGTCCCCTGCATCGGAGGGCACAGTTGAGTGTGTTTTGTGAAAATTGCCCGCTATGCCAATGCGGTAAAAGCTTGGCTCTATAAACAGCGGGTGACCTTTAATCTGTGTACTCTGATACAGGGATGGATAATCTACGGCTCACTTGCCAGATACACCCCAAGACTTCACATCATACGACCCATGGGCCACATGAGGTTCACCGTCATAATTTATTACTGGATATCACGCAAGTATAAAACACAGCCAGAAGCGCCAAGTAATGAAGAACCGATACTGGTTCAAGCACTGTGGTGACACCACTGCCACTTAGTGGCGAATGGCAGCTGTTATTGGGGTTGCCAAAGGCATTTGAGAATCCGGTGCAGCAGCCCTGGCAAGGAAAGGGTTTCTCACGCCTGCTCTCTACTGGGCTAACGTTTCGATTGCAGAATGTTTGTTTGTTAACACAAGCACTCGACAATGAACTCCCCAGCCATTCCAGGAGTCGTTGCAGTTCCATATGGCGATTCGATTCCAGAGCAACGTGACTATTTTTACCTTGCTGTGAATGTCCACCACTCGTGGCTGCAGGCTTAACATAAACCAATTGTGTAACATTTATTCACTAGTAAGTTGCAGTCCACTGCCACATGAAGTCTTCCCAACGTGTTTTTTCGAGGGGTTTGTTTGACTATACTTCATGCTGGCCAATGCGGGTTGGTGAAGTTAGCGCAAGCCCATTTTTGGTTCAGATGTAGCTCGGCTTTAGAAACCCTGCTCTGGAGGGAAACCGAAAGAGGAGCACGTGGATTGAAGACCATACGTGGGTTAATGGCTTCGTCGTATTGACTGTTGAGACGACTAAGAAGGCTTGGGCAGGGCGGGTCGCACCTAGAACTTAGATGGAATGATGGACGATGGTCAATAATAGTGATGGGAGTGGCAACAAAGGCGTGGGTCGCATCCCATGGGACGTCCACCTGGGAGATGAAGCGATGGACTCCGCGTGCAAGTGCCTGGTTGATTGTGAGAGCTTGGGGAGGTGCTCATCCAGCAGTGGAATGACAACGGCTGATGATGATGCTCCAGACGGAGGGCCTCGTGAGTGTAGAGCCTTCACCCCGTCTTCCCTACTGCCCCCCTCCCCCATCCTGCACCCACCCCGCATGTCGTATACTATACTGCGATTTAAATGTTTTTCAGGGGAGGCCCACCAAGCTCTATAGCTCTTTTTCAGAAGCGACCTGGCCACAAATGATATCTCAACGAAGTGGCTTATCATCATGTGGAAATTTATAGCGGCTAAACACTCATCATACATGTTGATTCTAAATGTGGTGAGAAAAACTGGAGCATCTGGAGAAAAATCCACACGACCACGGAGAGAGACACGCAAACTCCAAATATACTGCTGGCGTCGGGGTCGGGATCTAACCTGTGACCTCCTATATACCAGGTGAGGTCGTTAACATCTTGCCACCGTGACACCCCTGTACGACACAGGGAGGCCCCAGCGCGCGCTCGTGCCACAAGATGTGCATCGACGTGGAGCGGCGCCACATCTACACGCTGGGGCGCTACCTCGACTCGCTGGTGCGTAGCAGCAACGCGCTCAAGAGCGATTTCTACCGCTACTCGATCGACGGCAGCAGCTGGAGCCTGCTGAGCGAGGACACGTCGGCCGACGGGGGGCCCAAGCTCGTCTTCGACCACCAGGTGAGATGGCGGCGGCGGCGGCGGCGTGGAGAGGGAAGACGTGGCAGGCCCGGAAGCTCTTTTCACGCACTCGCTAATTCACTCGGCTCGGTCGCTCTTCTATCGCTACTACCATTGTTATCGTTCTCGTCACCTGCCCTCGTTAATTCCTCCACCCGTGTTGATTAGACGGAGGGCTGTTGAGCCCCCCTCCCACTCCCTTAGCCGCCAGCGATGATGTTTCCAGTCGAGCCGTTGACCGCCAGGCGAGGCAGTGACATCATCATCCGCGAGAGTTTATTTTTACAAGAACAACATACACAGGAAAAGAACTGAGCCAGAGAATGTGATGCATGGAAAATAGGTGCCCCCCCCCCCCCAACAGTGGTCCAGCAAACAAGGGAAATAGAAACGCAAGACAGGAAGGGGAGAGAAGGGGAAGAGTAGGAAGAGGTAGACAAAGGAAGGTGAAAACGAGAGGAGCGATAGGAGATGAGTACACAGAGGGGTGGACAAATCTAATTGGCGTCGAGCCCACAAAAGGGGACACCGTCTTTTCCTGTAAGCGGTTAGCGAGCGCGCGACAGAGCCCCGCCACGTACCACTGTGGGAATCTCTTGCGCCCGCGATTCGGGCCGGCGCCCGCCGCTCGGCGATTCTCGTGCCTTCCATTGCGTCAGTGGTGACGATTTTTGCAGGCGAGAGGGCGAGCGAGTCCATTTGGGTTTGGAGTTGGCAGCCGCCTGCGTGCTCGGCGGTCGTGCCGCGGAGTAGCGCGAGCGATTGTGATTGCGCGCCGCCGTCGCCGCCACTGCGGTTGTTTTTGTACTGAAATCCCCGGTCCACCCTTTGCCCTGGCCAGCTGATGTTGGCAATGACCTTGGCCTAATGAGTTGTTTGTGCTCTCACTGTTCCCCCACACAGTGCTGCCCACACACCCACGCAAAGTATGCCCGCATACACACAGCAGTTTTGTGTGCTTTATGGAGGGTGATTTTAAGCAAGGTGTTTGTAGAAAGAAATATTGTTGATTTACTAGTCACCTCTCTTGCATTGGTTGTATTGGTGATCACACTGGACCGGTTCTATTCCATCTCCCTGCTCAGCTGTTTAAACAACGGTGCCAGTTTCTCAAATCCACCATTCCGCCTCTGTCCACCCGGCAGTATAAATGGGTACACCACAGTCAGTGGTTTGGTAGGACGCGTGGTGGGTAAACGCGTGGGTACTGCCACTTCTTGAAAGAGTAGAGGCTCTTCTGTCAGTTGTGCTTTGATTGGTGCAGCAGTTCACGTGCTGTAAACCCAGCGAGTTCAATTCCTGGCCACGTCTCACGTAAGTGACGAGTTATATCTGAACCGGTCCTGGACTCCTCCACCTGCACCAATCTGCATTTACCAGCGTGGTGAAGCACGGTGAAACTACCTCGTGACTGATACGGCATGTGGGGGGGGGGGGGCCTTCATCCAGGAGTGGAGTGACGGGCTGTACTTTCTACCCACCTCGTCCATCTACTCGTAACAAAAGCTACTTTCTGGACACTGGCGTTTTGTGTGTTTCCGTATTCTCTGGAATATAAGACGCATCTTTTTCTCCTGTACCTTAAAGTAAAAGATCGGATGCGTCGGCGTGTGTGCGTGTGTATGAGAGCAGATTCGTAAACTTTTTTGGCACAGGCACAAGTTATTTGCGTCCCACGCCGATCGTCTCACCCCGCGCCCTCCTCCCCACGCCAGATGTGCATGGACTCGGAGTGGCACACGGTCTACACGTTCGGGGGCCGCATCCTGACCGGCGGGGGCCAGGGCGACGAGAACCGTGGCGGTGGCGGTGGCGGGGAGGCCCAGTTCAGCGGCCTGTACGCCTACCACTGCCCCACACGCTGCTGGCGCCTGTTGCGCGAGGACTCCAGCAACGCCGGCCCGGAGGAGATCCAGTCCCGAATCGGCCACTGCATGCTCTTCCACACGGTGCGCGGCGACAAGCGAGATTTCCCCGCAGCTCCAAAAGATTCCCTTTCCTAAACATTAAACCCATTGTAAGGTGGTGGCAGTGGATGCACGAATAACGGGAAAAATTATCCCGCCACGTTCGTTGATAACGCTGCGGCCTTAAGCAGAGGGCAGTGTTCGTGATGAATGTGTTGAATTGTTTCAGACGTGTACCCGGTTAATCATCTCCCATCTCAATCGTAATTTGATGCTAAGCTGTCGATCCTAATGGTAACTGCACTTGCAATTGCATTTGTAGCACAATTGTCACCCTATACCTGTTTAATGTTTCATTGAATTTGTAATTGTACTCTGATCAGTCTAAAAATAATCTGCCTGAGCTGATTTATCACGCTACAGGGAATTTATTATTGAGCATTGAGTTATGTTTGTGGAATAATTTAGATTTCTCATGCAACAGTGTACTTGGTCTGAGCTCCTATAAAGGCTGGCACGGTATACGAGGGGGTGGGTGGTCAGAACCATGCTTCACAACCTTTATCTCCCCATTGGCAATGTTTACGCACTGCACAAGGTACTCATTTGAGGCTGACTAGACCTAGAGGAGGCCCAGGACGGTTCATATAATCGTCACTGGCATTGGCTGTGAGTGGGAATCGAACTCGGGTGGCCAGGTTTGTCGCGAAGTGCGCTATAAGTGCTGTTGGTGAGAACTCATTAGGGCCGGTACGGCGTAGGAGGGGCTGGTGGGGCCAGGAATATATAAATATGGACGCACGCACGCGAGCTATAAATAACCCTCGAGGTCACGACACTGAGGGACCACCTCTCTGTGCTTTTCCTCATTACGCTGAGCGACAGGCCCAGTGAGTAAGAATCCGCTGCTTGTGTGTCCGCGTGTGTGTCCGCAGAAGAACCGCCACCTGTACGTGTTTGGTGGGCAGCGGGCCAAAACGTACCTCAACGACTTCTTCAGCTACAACGTGGACACGGACCACGTGGACATCATCTCGGACGGCACCAAGAAGGAGTCCGGCATGGGTGAGACGCGGCGCGTGCGGTGTGGCCGAGGTGATGAGGTGCTCTCGGCTACGCCTTACCCCGTGTTGTCCACTTTGCAACCTATCGCTTATTGTGATGATCGTTTTTTATATTTTTACAAGTTTATGAAACAACAAACTTGTTAATCAAAGTTCAAAATATGTATTAGCTGTAAAATAGAGTGCTATGCGAAACGATTTGTCGCGTAACCGAAAGTGGTTTTCGGGTGCGTGCCGTACATCAAGTACCGCATGTGTGCCATACAAGGTGGTCTCATGTGTGTGCCGTGACGTGACTGTTGTGTCGTCATAGTGTACGTGTGCCATGTGATGTGTGCAATCCCGTAACGGTTGTGCCGTGCCGGTTGTGATGTGTCTGTGTGTCTCCTGGCGGTAATGCCGTAACGATTGTGCCGTGCCATTCGTGCGTGCGCGTTGGTGTCTCATGCCGGTCTTGCCCTAACGGTTGTTGCGCGGGCGATTGCGTGCATGGGCAGTGCCGATGACGGGCTTCACGCAGCGCGCCACCATCGACCCCGAGCTGGACGAGATCCACGTGCTGTCGGGCCTGAGCAAGGACAAGGAGAAGCGCGAGGAGAACGTACGCAACTCCTTCTGGGTCTACCACATCGTCCACAACACCTGGTGAGCCTGCCGCCGCCACCACACCCGCCCGCGGCACCCCGCGTGCTTCCCTTCCCTTCGTCCGCCTCGTATGTATGTTGAACTTCTTTCGCACCATGCATAGCCAACCGTGCTAATCGGAGGTGCGTGTGGTGCGGACCGACGGGAAGCGAGCGGGACAAGGGGTCCACCGTGTACCCCGCTCGGACCTTACGACCCACGCCACACACCAGGGCTCGCTTCCCCGCCATGTTGTCTTCGTTGAGCTTGCACAGAGAGTCCGTTAGCCGTATAATCGGTGCGATTTTGCCACAGACGGATGGGCAAGGACGGGTCACCCGATGTCCTTTTGCTTGGACTCGTCTACGCGACGAGGCTGAGAAATCACGCAACCTGATCTTCCGTCACCGAACGACCGCTTTGTACACGCGGCCTATTTGTGATCGTAACGACACGTCGTGGATCGCAACCGTGTCACATTGCGATGAATTACGTCGCTTCCGATCGCTGAGCAGGTCGCCACTTGCCAGTAGCGTCTGTGTCCACTGCGAGCAACCGGTTGCGGAGATATCCAAGTAACAAGCGATTGAAATGGGACCCTTTTTCTAGTATAAAAAAGGTCCCACTTCGCCTTTTGGCCTTCTCTGGTCTGACACTGGTGAGACTAGGCGCGAAAGAAGGCTGTCTATGGTATAGGCCATGCTTTGTTGTCGTCACCACAAGTTCGTGCGGTGAATGCAAACTTGATTAAACCTTGACTTAAAGCTTTCGTGACTGTAGGAATTCATATTCTTTGGGTTTTTCGGTAAAGTCACATAGATATAGGTTCAAAGAAAATAACAAGAAACTACGACGTTTTGATCGTTCGTCATCAGGAAGGTCATCAGGCAGACGACTGCTTGTGTTGCGATCGAAACGTCGTAGTTTTTTGTTATTTTCTTTGAACCTATCTACATGACTTTACTGAAAGACCCAAAGAATGCGAACTTGATTCCTTGCAAAAGGTTTCTGTTTGGTGTTTGAACATTTTAACACCAGTTTTATTTCCAGAAAGGGTAAAGCCTATTCTTATTATTTTTTTATGCAAGTTATTGAGTTGCGTGCGCCGTGTGCTCTGCACCCCAAGGTCGTGCGTTTACAAGAACTTCCAGGCCGGGAAGGAAGGGGCTGCCGGACGCGGCAGCGTGGAGGAGGAGCCGTGCCCTCGCTTTGCTCACCAGCTCGTGTATGACGAGGTGCACAAGGTGAGCAGCAGCCCTCCATGCTCACCGTTAAACATCGGCCACGATCGATCCACAAGCCGCTATCTCTCATGCAATGTCATCATCCGGCGAGCCGCCCTGCTGCGCACGAGCTGATCTCGCAGCTCTGTCTCCTCGGTGGATGTCCATCGTTGACGCGTCCCGTCCCCAGGCTCCCACTCCATCATTATTCTCAACCGTCGGCCGTCTCCGCTTACAGTGACGTGTCCTGCCCAAGCCCCGCTTACTTTACACAACGATTCTAACGGTGTCATCCACCTGCGTAGGATGTGTAATCCATGTGGTCCCTGGCTCTGTAATTTCAAGTAGGCCTCGCTTCGCACGAGTGCTGTTCTGTATGCGCCATATCAACCTGCTCTGCTTGAGAAACCCAGTTAATCAGAGGTGGCTGAATCGCAGATTCTCGAATCCGGGATCTCAGGCATGACACCTCCAAGCCGCTTGGCCACCTCCCGTCGTAGGCCGCATGTTAACCGACGTGAACGTTGCCGGCAGGTGCACTATCTGTTTGGGGGAAACCCCGGGAAGCCGACCCTGCCCAAGATCCGACTGGACGACTTCTGGGCCCTCAAGCTGTGCCGGCCGGCGCGCGAAGACCTCCTGCGCCGCTGCCGATACCTCATCCGCAAGCACAGGTCAGGCTCGCTCTACTGCTAGGCTTTCCGCTCTGCTCGGCTCGCCCCACCAGCCACAGTCTCGCCTCGCAGTCGGGCTCGCTCCACAGCTAGTCTCGCAGCTAACAACGGGGGGGTGGGGCGGTGGTGGCGCGTGCAGGTTCCAGGAGAAGGCGGTGACGGAGCCCGTGGCGGCGCTCACGTACCTGCAGACGGAGCTGGCCGACACCGTGGATCACTCCGACCCCACCGAGACGAAAGAGGTAGCGGCTTCTCATCAGGGGCGGTAGCAGCCGAGTTGCGAGCAGGCTCTACGTGTGGCGAGTGACATCTGAACTGGTCAAGGATCTCCTCCTTCCCCACTCACTCCTTTTACCAACTCGCACTAAGTGGCGTGGTGAAGTATGGTCAAACAACTCCAGCGGTGCATTGCCGTGTTGTTTCTCTTTGACAGTTCCAGCTGCTGACGTCGTCTCTCTTCAAAACCACGTCAGACTTCATCCCCCTGGGTGAGTGGCGCTGCGTGCGCGCCCGGCACCCCCTTCTCGGCGCGACGTCCACGAGTCGTATTCCGTAACAGCGCTCATTCATCCGAGAAATCTGCACGCGGTGGCTTTGTTGCGATTTAGGACTATAATGAATTCATGCCAGTTGTACGGAAGTGATTGTGCCCATGTTAATGTTTAAGGCGAGGGAGCGAATAAAACTGTCCGGTTGAAACTGGACAAATGAGCTGTAAGAACATGACACCGAATCGTGGTATTCCATTGACTCGGCGTGAAGGTGAATCGCTCCATACCTACTCAGACCCACAAAGCAATAGCTTTTGTGTTGCGTCAGTCTTTTGTACGTTGGGGAGTTGGTGAGCGATGGTTCATGTTGAGGTTGCTGAGCGAGCCAGGTGGACAGTTTCAGCAGGGGTCTCATTGTGAATCTGTGAAACTCTGCCGATGAATGATTGAAATCGTCAGGTGTAGTTGCTTTGCGCCCTGCAGTTTGAAATTGGCGATCCCAGTCGGTCTGCGGGCTATCGTTAAATCTTCAACGGCGTTAAATCATTCAAGTTGTTTTACGCAGACAGTCGCGTTTTATAGACACAATCTGGACGGTTTCAGCGGAGAGGACTGGCCCCTCTGCCACCACCCCCGCCACTGAGCCTGCTGGACATCATTAGAGTGATCCTTCCCCCCCCCCCCCATCACTGTCCCATCACATTCCCCGCAGGTTACTCGGACGTGGACGAGACGTATGCCCGCCGCTCGCAGCTCTTCGACACGCTCGTCAATTTCTTCCCCGAGAACATGACCCCTCCCAAAGGGAACCTCGTGGATCTCATCAGCCTGTGATGCCCGCCGCTCATGCACCGTCTGGCGCCAGTACCACCACCACCATGGCCACTGGTGATGGACGGCGGCAGCGCCGGCGGAGCCACGGGTGGGGCTGAAGAAGTGGCCACCACCACCAAATCCAGTGCCTCGCTCGGTCATTCGCTCGCTCCTGCAGGTGCAGTTAGCCAGCGTAGAAGCAGACCCGCCGAGCGGCCGGCTCAGCGTGCGAACAGAGGTTGGTCGCCCGCCTATGTGCGTGCGCGGTCTGTGGTCGGTGAGTCCAGCCCAGGGCTCCAGTTCATACAAAATTACAACAAGGTCGCTGGCAGAACGGAGTCGTTGACTCATAGCCATGGCCTGAGCGCGAGAGGTATTCTGGATGTGGTGGACCGGGGAGCGGAAATATTTAGCGGGTCACCGGCGTGGTTCGACCCGGCTGAAGCCAAGCCCCGGTACCTGTGCGCACAAACGGCGCGTGCCGTGGGGTGCGTAGCGGGTGGCGCGGTGGTGCCCATGGTCATGCTGCAGCTGTTGCTGCTGAAGCACATTTCATCTCATCCCGTCGACCGGCGCCACAATGCTGGGCAGGCTTGCGGCAGGGCGAGGGCTTCCACGCGTGTATATTCTAACATTTTAAACAAATATTTTGACAATGATTTTTTTTTTTCCCCATTATAAAGAAAAGGCATGAAACTCGCACAGTTTTGTTTGCGTGTGTGAAATTGACACATCTTTGCTTGCGCTTAAAAGGCTGGCTTTGAGTGGCCAGTGCTGTCTTTGATTTGATTGCTGCCACGTATAAATAAATTGTGTGGTGGTGCGCTTGGGGAGGTGGGGGGGGGTGTGTTTGGGCGTTGCTGTACCACTAGGGCATGGGACAGTGAGTGCCGTGAACTCTGCCTTGACGTTGCGTCTGAAATCTATTGGAGCGTTAATAATGTTTACGTCCGTGCAGGAGTTGGGCAGGGTGAGCGGCGCTGCGAGTCCGGCGAAAGCCACAGCGACCTCATAAGATCATGGAGCTAATTCAGGCGTCATACCACCCAATCATCGCTTCTGTATCCGGATTGTTAATATTCATAGTTTTCTCTTTAATTTTCGTTCAGTACAGCGACTGCGCTTTTCCCTTTTTTAGGGGTAATGGGCGACTGCACTACAAAACGCTGGGAAAAAAAAATCTCACCGCGTGGTAAAGTTCTCTTGGCATGGTTTATCCGATCACAGCCCGTCGGACCGGGGCCTTTGCCCTGCCGCCGTGGCCCGCTGCTCGACGGTGCCACTGCAGCGTGGGAGGTGGTGGTTCACCGTCCAAGTGGGACGAGCCAGGCCACTTGCAGCACAGCACAAGCGTGACACCGTCCTTGCTGCTGCGGGGGTAGTAGCCCTGGGTGCCACGCCCGCTGTGCGTCAATTTAGTTGGGGCAGAGGCGTCGATGAGACTTGGCACAGTGATAAAAGTACGGCACCACGTGGAGGCCGACGGGGGCAGGTTGGTCTTGGGTGGGGGCCTGAAGCTGGCCCCTCTACCTAGCAGACTGGGGGGTCCGAACTGTAGAGTTTACAGGTAACAGGGTGGGTGGATACAGATTTAAGGAGTCGGCTGATTCAAATTTTAACCTTGACTTGTATGTATTCTGATTACAAACATTTTTATTGTTAAATCCACAGTACATCACGGATTGAATTTACTGTCGATGAAGTTGAAGTCGGCTTTGTTGTGGCGGAGGGGAGAGACGCTGTAGCCGATGGACGGAACACTTGGGGGTGACACGTTGGCAGAAGAATGCTGCGGGGGGGTCCCTTACAAGGCTCCAGTAACAATTTGGGTTTCTCTTCAATGGGAAATGAAACTCTAATGAATACTCATCGTATACTTGCGTGTGTTAGCTTCAAGCTTAGAAAGTAATGTTGAACCCTTAAAAAATAGTGCATTCTAGCCTGAGCCAGGGAGTCCAAACCATTTGGTTGTGCAGGTGGTGGAACTGCACTGGCTACTACGGGCCCGGAGGCAGGGGAGAAGTTGGACAAAGTGGCCCATTTTTTTTTCCTTGTAGCAGAGCTCACACCAAACACACTTTGTGTGCCACTGCTCAAACCCATTGCCTTCATTTGCCAACCGCCAGCTGCTTGGCGCCCAAACCCCTCGGCTGCAGCGTCCAGAGACGCCGCTTTCAACTGGGGAGTTGCCAAGGAGTACCCAACGATCGTGGCTTCCACATTGTCAAATAGTGGTGCCCCCCCCCTCCCCAGAGACGAGAGCCGTCGCCACCGTGGACACCACGTGGTGCTGTGCCCCCACCGTGGCCTCGTCCCTGGCCTCGAAGTCCCCCCCCCTCCGCCACCAGTGGTTGAGTTCTCACGCTCGGCACGGCCCCCTGAGCGCGCTAGAGAGCGAGGATCCCGGTTCACTCGTTCCGTGTGCGTGCGTGTGACCCTTGCATGCACTTTTGGACATTAACCGCATAATCAGTGGCATTTTCGTGAGTATTTGAATCTGCATCGTTTCTTGAGAGAGAGAGGCTCTTTAAAGTGAGAATGTTAGAGGTAGGGAGGGAGGTGAGCTACATTAAAAACGTGACATTGTGTGGCGTCCATTTCATTTGCCACCAAAACTGAGGACTGGGTCCATCTCTGGAAGTCATCTCTTTTTGGGTTGTTGCTCGAGTGTATGAGGAGGTATTGGAGGGAGGCAGGACATGCAGAGGTGTTGGTTTGTGTGTAGAGGTGTCTGAGTAGGTGTGTGTGAGTGAGTAGTTGGTTAGTGTCGCTGTGTGTTGGTGTCTGTGACTCGTGCAATGCTTCGTGCACTGCACCACTAACAGCATCTTGAGTTTGATTCTCGGCCACGGCTAACATCAGTGGCGAGTGATATCTGAACCGCTGCTGTGCCTGCCTAGGGTTGACTCAGCCTTACGAGTACCTGGTGCATTGTGTAAGCATCATCACTGGGTAGACAAAGGCAGATGGGCGTGGTGCTTGCCGCACTACCCCTCGCGTGTGCTGCGCCGGCCTTAATAGGTGCTCGCTAACCGCATTTCCCCAACAGTCTAGGGCTATATGGGGGATCTTTGTCTTCGTGTGATGTCTGTGTCAGAAGACATCTATGTGAGTAGGTGTCTGCGTGTAAGCAGGTGGGTTTGTGTGCGAGCAGGTAGCTTGTGTGTGGGCAGGTGTATTGTGTGTGTGTGGAGGCAGGTGTATTGTGTGTGTGTGTGGGCAGGTGTATTGTGTGTGTGTGTGGGCAGGTGTATTGCGTGTGTGTGGAGGCAGGTGTATTGTGTGTGGGGGCAGTAGTGCAGCGGTTATCGCGCTGCGCTACGAACCCGGCAACCCGAGTTTGATTTCTGCTCACAGCCTCCAACACCAGTGAGGATTATCTGACCTAGTCCTGGACCTTCCCTAGGTCGACTCAGTCTCAAATGAGTACCTGGTGCGATGTGTAAACATCATCACTAGGGAGACAAGTGGCCGGGCATGGTGCTGCCCCCCCATGCCCTCGTGTGCCTTCATAGGTGCTCGTGAATAGCACTCGCCCCAACAATCTGTTAAGGCTACACGGGGGGTCTCTGTGCGAGCAGGTGTCCGGATCAGACTGGTCACTTACGCTCTGCCTCAATGATTTAATGTACTCACCGCTTGCGGGATCCCGCACGTTTCGCGTGTATGTATTGTACATAAGTTGTAAAGGCGGTATTATTATTTCGTAATAAAAGTTGCAAACGGAACTTCTGGTTGGTTAGCGTGGTGCAGCTCTCGCTGCCAATGCCATGACGCAAGTGACTTGGAGATGACGCTGCTGCTGTTGGCAGTGGTGCACAAGCAACATAATAAGCAACTTAACACATTAGTCAGTCGGCCATGAAGGAGGGCTATTGCCTCGCTCTACGCGTGGTGCTCGCACAACGTGTTTTCTCTACAATGCGATTCTTCGTCGTATCTCGCCAAACTTGATCGTGACATTGTTTATGGGGAGATGGTTTTTGCTGAATGTGCTTGTCGCTTAACGCGGAACGTATTAGGAACGCATCTACCGCGTTAAACGAGGACTACACCTGTGTTTGTAATTTTCCTTTTAAAGCCACAGTGCTATTGACGAAGGCGTTGCAGTTTTTTATCTTTTAGAAAGACCCAACTGCACATGCCTGTCGTGCCATTTTGAAATCGGGTCACTGCGTCACGTGCCGGGCTATTGTAAATGCTTCCCCCGGACTAACGCGTGCTGGACAGCACATCGCAAACGGTCCCTGCTTTCTCCGCACGACTCCACCGACGTTTGCCGTCGTTTGCGAGGCACACGGGAGAGGCGGCGTTCAGGTTTTTTTTCACAGCGTGCGTTTATTTTTTGCCGAGAACTCGCGACTGCGGGTGGAGCAAGCACGTTCCGAGAGAGACGCCCGTAACGCAAAACGCAAACCCTGGATGAGAGCCTCCTCCCTCCCTAGTGGGGCAAGGGGGGGGGGTCATCCAGCCCACACTTCACGCTGATCAGCGCTGGGAGCAAGGACACGGGAGTGAAGAAGTATAGGAGAATAAATATATATTTATTTTTGCTGCACTTTCCTCTGCTGACTACCCGGGCTGGTACGAGTGGCAGGTTCCTGTGAGTGGTAGTAGCTTGTCAGTTCGTATTCGGGATGAGGTGTAATCGGGGTTGTCTCGTCGGTTTGTTACGGCTATTGTCACGTTTGCTTGGCCATTTGTTTCCAATCTGGGTAGTGCTCGTGGCAAGTTGGCTACCCGTGCAGTTGTCTAGCATTGATCCCGTAACATCTGTGCAAGTTGGCTCGTTATGTAGTGTATGGGCTAGCGGCCGCTGGGCAAGCATCCGCTGGGCTCAAGTTCGCTGGGCTAGCGGCCGCTGGGCAACCGTCCGCTGGGCTCAAGTTCGCTGGGCTAGCGGCCGCTGAGCTAGCGGCCGCTGGGCTAGCGTCTGCTGGGCTAGCGGCCGCTGAGCTAGCGGCCGCTGGGCTAGCGTCTGCTGGGCTCAAGTTCGCTGGGCTAGCGGCCGCTGGGCCAGCAGGCACGGAGCTGCCCATCTCCACCTCTCCCCGGTATAACGCTTCCCCTTGTGCCTGGCACTCGCGTGGCATTGGGAATCGTCAGCGCCGCCGCGTCTGTTGGCCGTGATGAGAGTTGAACGTGACGTCCAGCTGCCTGTGTCCACGTCGTCTCTTCACCTCCCGTGTATGCGATGTTTGCATTTTGGATTTTTTTTTTTTACAAAGGTACAAAAAAATATATAACGGCAGAAAACTCGTACAGAGCGGAGTTCACGCGCGCACCGCGGCGTCGTCGTCGGAGCGGATTAATTGTATCGTGGTCACGATGGCAGCGGTCGTATCGCCCATCCTCGCCACGCACGCCCATCGCTACTCGCTCGTAGCGCCCGTACGGCATCACAGGTGTGGCCAGCGATCGGAAGCGCAGCTGTGTGGAGTACCGCTCATCTGATCTTGACCCCAACCCTAACCCTAACTCTACCCCGACCCCAACTCTACCGTAACCCCAACTCTTTCCATTAGCCTAACTCTATCCTCTCCTGACGGGGCCCCCTTGCTTACGCCACGTGGACCCGTTATGCCGAGATCAACAAAATACATTCAAATAACGCCTTGCTGGAGTGACGTTTCGTCGAGTCACGACTCATTGGCCGCCACATCTCGTGATGCCCTGGGTCGTGCAATTTAGATATTTAGATGTCAGTGACGAATTATAAATGGAATAAAATGACGCAAAGATTCAATTACCGCTCATCGTTGAACCCCCCCCCACGGTTTCGCGCTCTGCCACCCTAGACACTGACACCGCCCCCTTCCCATGTCCCCCCCCCCCCGACCCTGAATGGCAGGGCAAGCGTGCCCCCCCCCCACCCCTCCCCCAACACACACGTGGATCGTCGTGACACCGGTGGTCCCAGTCTCGACCGGTTGCAGGGCTGGGTGGGGGGCTCACAAGGTGGTGTCCTCCTCGTCGTAAGCGTGGCCGCTCTGCTGGCCCCCCGAGCCGTTCAACGCGACCCGCGGAGGAGGCCCGCGGCGGCCCCTTCCCCGGCCCGGGCTGTCGGGGCAGCCGTTCTTGGGGATCGCCTCCAGGTCGTGGTCCCTCGAGGAGGAGGGGTAGCAGTAGCGCGGCCGCTTGAGGTAGGCGACGATCAGGACGATCACGCCCACCACGGCCACCACGCCCAGGATCCCCCAGACGACCGTCGTGGGGGACAACGGCGCGGACGCCGGCGGGGGCGCCGTGGTCTGGGGGAGAGCGTGGAGGGGGTGTCACGGGGATCATCGGGAGGCATGACCAGGCGTTTATATTGCCAGATTTTTTTCTTTCGCACCGTACGATCCTTTAACTTCTACATCCCATATTACGTGAGGCTTTTGTTTATGTCATTTGAAAATGATTGCAGAGCCATGGGATTGGGATAGGGGAATGGGACTGGTATAGGGGTGGGGACCGGTGTCGAGGGATGGGATGTCTATCAAGAATGAGACTGGAATAGGGGACGTGACCGGTATCGGAGCAGGGGACGGTACCGTGGTTTGCTGTCCTTGCCACTGAGAGGAGTCACGTGGTCTGAGTTTGCCTCCAATGCTGGGTTCCTGGGGGAGCGCCTTCGGGTGCCACGATGTCGATCCTTGAGACACATCAGCAGCACCATCTCCCACATCACCATCTTCATTATCGTCATCATCACCATCAGTAATATCAGTAGCAGCATCAGCAAATCTTTTAGCACAATCATCAAGCTGTTTATGTTAAAGACACGTCGGCTTTCGCAAGCAATATAATAAAGGTTTTTTGGGTGAGATCGCGTAAGTATAAATGTGTCGTAACCTGCCACCGCCCAACCCAGCCGACCAGTAATGTTCGTCACGTAAACAAAACGTCACAATTCGTAAATCGCCCGATGATGCTGGTTGATGTAATTACAATCGAAACGGCACAGTATTCAAATTGTGGTGTATTTGCTCTCCAACACACCGGTGGGCTGAAGTTAGTAGTATCTCGTCGGGTGGTGGTGGGTTACGACACATTCATACTGACGCGATCTCGCCCAAAAACAAACCGTAATTATGAAAGCTGTCATGTCCAACTTTTTCTCATCAAATGGAGCCACAGACAATCATCGTGAGCCACATCGTCGTCATCGTCATCACTGGCATCATCTTCCTGCTGTTCCAGGCGGGGAGGGCCTCACCTGCACGGGTGCCGCTGGCTGCGGTGTTTGTGTTCCCTGCCGTGGACGCCTCCAGAACTCTTTCCTGTGCGGCACCCAACACAACCACGCCGCCAGCTGTGCCACCCGAGTTCCATTCCCGGCCACGCTCCCTAAACATCGGCGGGCGAGTGATGATCTGAAGCGGTCCTGTCCTGGGCTTCCCCTGAGTCGACTCAGCCTTAAACGATTGCCTGATGCCGTGCATAAACCTCAGCATCCGGTAGACAAAGGCGGCCGGGCATCATACTGCCCATCCATACCCTTGTGTGCCGTGCCAGCCTTCATAGGTGGTCGCTAACAGCACTTGCCCCGACAGTTTGAGGCTGCATGCGGGACCGTTATCCATGATTACCAAGCGGTGCCACGTGCTCCCCCCCCCCTCCCGTGCACCCCACCCTCGCCGCACTCTCCTCACCCCCCAAAGTCCATCCCCTCACCTACCCATTGCTTCTCCCGCATTGGACCGTGACCTCTCGAACCTCACCACGCTGCACGCCCCTCTCTGTCTTCTCTCACTTGGACCTCTCACCACCTCCCTGCTCCTCTCACCTCCCTGAACCCCGGTTCAAGGTGAAGGAGAGGGCGGGGGGGGGGCTGGGCTGCCCCCCTACCCTCTCGCCCGCTCCCCCCCGTCACTCCTGCATTGTGCACGTTCACTTTAGGAACGCACCCCGCCCCCTTCCTTGCAGACCCCCCACTTCCCCCTCGCACACACGAACCAAGGAGCTCAGTGGTCCAGGGACCCTGGGAGGGGGTAGGGCCGGGAGGGCTCCCCCCCCCCCCCCCCCACAACTTCCCTCGACCCCAACAATAACAGCGCGGGCGCCATACGAGTGCAACGGAGGCGGCTTCCTCCCCCGTGGGTACACGGGCTACGTGTGTGTGTGGAGCGGTGGCGCAGCGGTTAGCAACGCACTCGGCCACGAACCCGGCGTCCCGAAATAAATTTCCCGGCCACGGCTAGCGTCAGTGGCGACTGATTAAGGCTACCCAATGCCGACACGGCGTGGGGTAGCCTTCATCCAGCAGTGGTTCGGCAAAGGGATGAGGGTGATCATTGTGATTCGACGTTTCAGTCCTCGATCCAGACTCGGACGCCCCTCTGTGTGGAGTTTGTGTTCTCTTCCCCTGGGTCCCACGTGGGTTTTCTCCCGAAGCTAAACCCACACACGTTGCTGAATTGGTAGTGGCCAAACATCTCAATGCTGGGTAATTACTGCAAATTACTCAATTGTGGTTACACAGCAGCAGTAACATCGCCCCCCCTCTCCTCACCCCCACTGCTAAAACCTGGGCAGGACCCTCCTGAAAAACAGTCTTGAGACTCGGTGAGGATTCCCTGAGGAAACGAGTGGAAATAAAATAGAAGAGTAAAACATTGTCAGCACTCACTCTGGTGCCACGTGAGATTGAATAACCACGTGGTCTCTCTCACCTTTGGGTCTTGGGTGTCCTTCCTGTGGACTGATGCTGCTGCTGGTGATATTGATGGTGGTGGTGGTGATGATGATGGTGGCGAGATGGTTTCAGTGACTCCTGGATTTAGCACAGATGTGACATGAGTTGATGGTGATGATGAAGGTTGCAACGATGGTATAAATGACGATGATGAAAATGATGATGGCAATGATGAGTTTGATGTCACAGTGGTCTTGGTTTCTGACGGCATCAGATTAGCGGGGCTGAAGGAGTTCACATCGTTCGTCGGAGCTGCCGACATCGGAACTCCCGACATCGGAGAAGCTGGATTCCTGGTCGTCGCCACCACGATAACCGAGGTTGAGATCGCCGAGGGTACACCTGGAGACGGAACGCACACAGCCGGGCAAGAACATAGCCTCAGTACGCACCCGATACGTGGAGACGCGGTGGCTCGGCTAGGTTCGTCGTGGCCATGTGTCAAAGACCTGGGTTCGGATCCCGGTTTCAGCTACCCGTGAAAAGGGCCCTGAGACTGAGCGAGACATTCCGGGGTAGTACTGCACGGTGTGCCTTTATTCTCTCGTTGGACGGGGTCGCGTGGTCTACCTGGAGTGCAAACCTCCTCTTGCGATTGCTCAACGAGCCTGAATTCTCTGCCAATGAGACCCAGACGGTCGAAACCAGTCCAGAGTTGTCTCGCTCAAACAAAACGCTTGCTGGAAATGTTTCGATCTGGAAGGCAGATAGCTAAAAGAGTTTAACACGTAGGAGGCTTTCGCGACCAATATCCATAATAGAGGGTTTTTTTGGGTTAGATCGCGTAAATAAATTTAATATATATAAAAAAAATCCTCAGTGGGCCTTAACTTGTAATTATTTGGAGATAGTTTGAACTATTTTCCATAATAGAGGTTTTTTTGGGTTGAATTGCTAAAACTATATTAATTATTACAAGTTAAGGTCCACTGAGCTATGTATTTATTTTTCAGAAGCGACCTGGCCACAAATGATAGCTCAACGAAGTGGATTATCAATGGCAAATGTACAGCAGCCAAAACTCTAAACGCGTGACATTGATTCTAAATGTGGAGGGTAAAAACCGAAGGACACGGAGAAAAATCCACGTGACAACAGGGAGAGAGAGACACGGAAACTCCAAATATACAAAAGGCGTCAGGGTCGGGATCGAACCCACGACCTCCTGTGTACCAGGCGAAGTAGTTAACATCTTGCCACCATGGTGCCCGAGGCTGATGGACTCGAGCCATGGTTGACGTGGAGACAGCTCGACTGGAATGTGGCGGGTGTGCTGTGGTGGTGCACACGTTTGCACCTTCAGGGGTCGCGGTCGAGGACGTGGGACTCGTGAGGGAACCCGTGGCTTTCGTGGTCGCGGGGGGCTCGGTGCGGCCTGGCATGGCGGTGTCTTCCGCGAGGCTCCAGCGCGCAGCTTAATGGGGGGGGGGGGGGGGGGTGGGGGAGAGGGGGGACCGCTAATGAGGTGAAGACGCAGTGACGAGGACCCTTGGGGTATCCCCACTCTCAGTGCCTCAGACACGTTCGTCGCGGGGATGGCTGCTGCTCACAGGCGATGGAGAAATATCAATTGTGGTCGGGGGCCGGTGGGGGGGGGGGGGGGGGGGGCCCGGGATAAGGGTTAATGCTTCTTGGGGTGGTCTAAAATAAATGGGAACTGATTGCAAACGCTTTTATTTTGCACTTGGAATAATATAACTTTTTTGTTCAGATTCAAGCGTGAAACACGTGATAGGGCCGCTGGAAGATGGAGGGAGAGGCAGAGACGGAGGGGACGGGGGAGCAGAGGGGAGGGAAGGGAGAGTGGAACAGATGGTTGGAGGGATATAAGGCGGGATGGAGAAAGGGAGGGAGGGAGAGATGGCAAGAGGGAGGGATGAAGAGGGGTAGGGGTGGGAGGCCACCTCTTAAAGGCCACCTCTTTCCTCCAGGCCCGTCTATCTCTTCAAGGCCACCTCTTTCGTACGGACTTTCTAGCCACAGCGAGCTTTGGCTCCGCGCAGAACAGTCACTCTCATTTATGTCCGTAAACCAGGATGCGCATTAGAATATTGCATTTGTATTATGATGATGATGGCGCTTCTTGACCGACGATGCTGCTGCTGTTGATGATGATGATGTTGATGATGTTCACTCGTGGACGATTTCGATGCTTCTCGTGTCACGATAATGGCGATGGCGCACACCCCACGCCGCGCGTGTCGGCGTGGGGCATTTTAATTGACAAACGCAACACGCGAGAGCGTTACAGCCTCACACTCTCCTGTCCTTGTGTTTCCCCAGTGATATGACGGCGGGAGGGGTCGGGAGGGGTTAGGGTCCCCTGGCAAACAGGAAAGGGGACGCTGGGAAGCAATCTCAGGGATGTATCAGAGTGGACTCCAACGTCGTGCAGAGGTGACTCAACTCCAGTACATGTTGATAATGATGAGGCTGATGATGATTATGTGGCTGATGATGATGATTTCCTGCACGGAGAAGAGCAACCACGACTCCGCCCGAGTTAGGCGACTCATGGAAACTCGCTGCAATTACCTGAATCACCCCTTCTTCTTTCTTCACTATCAACATCATCATCACTACGACCACTGGATAATGACTCTACAGCACTCGGCACGGAGATCACCGTGACTCGCGATGACGGCCCTCGAGCCTCCGCCACGCGTCGGCTCACCGAGTGGTCACATTTTCCACTCTGATCACTGCAGATAGAGACGATAAACATCAAGGACTCTCGATTCCTCTCTAGGGCTGCGTGGCGGGAGGTAGGTGGGGTGGGGGGTCGATGGGGTGGGGGGGGCAGACCACCGCTGCATCTGAGTAAACAATCAGTGCAGGCGAGGAAGGGCGCTCCCATCCTCCCCGCCCTTCCCGAGCCAACCCCACCTCGCCCCCCCCCACGCCCCCCCCCCCCCACTCTGCAGACTGCGTACGTGGGGGAGCGGTGGCACAGTGGTTAGCACACATGGCGCGACGAACCCGGCGAACCGATTTCGATTTCCGGCCAGGGCTATAGCATCAGTGGCGGATATCTCAACCAGGATTGAGCTTTCCCCAATCATGGAAACAGCAACGCTGGGAAGACAAAGACGGTCGGACGTGGTGCTGGTCACACCGCAACCGAGGCCTTCATAGGTGCTACTCACAAACAGCGCTTGCCCAAAGTCTGTTAAGACTATAGGGGACATATTGCGCAGGTCTATGATCGTGTGTCTGTCTCCATGTGGTGAGCGGGAGTGGAGCGGGTCGCCCAATGCACTTCCAGAGCTCGATTCGCGCTCAGCCAACATCGATGAGGACGCAGTGTCGAGTACCTACACCGGTTCGGCTGTTAGCGAGCACCCAACGAAGGCGTTGGCACCTCCGATTCGCACGGTTGGCTCCATACAGTGCGAAAGAAGTTCGCAACACACATGGCCGCCTTTGTCTCCCCTGTGCTGATGTTTACAAATCACGCCAGGTACTTATTTAAGGCTGAGTCGACCTAGCACACACGCACGCACACACTCTCGCTCGTACAAAGATCTCCCGTATAGCTCTTAACAGACTGTTGATGCAAATGCTGTTAGTGGGCACGTGTGACGCCCGGCCAGGCCTCACGGTGTCTGGCCACACGGTGTCTGGCCACACGGCCACACACAGAACGAGGGCACTCACTGCGCGATTGTTTCGGTTCATGCCGCATGGGCCAACAACAGCAACAACCACCACCACCACAGGCGGAGTTTCACTTCTTTGTCGGGGGGAGGGGAGGGGGGTTCGCTGTGTCCCTCACATTAGGACTCGCGGGTGCACGTAAGTTTATAAATTAATTAATGTATTTGTAATCTTAATTGTAAAGTACTGTAAATAAATAAAGGTGTGCAGTTTGGGAGGGGCGTTGCCTCCCCGTGCTCCCCCCACAGACTCCGCCGAACTGTCACCGCCACGAGGTGTCCCGCTTGTGCCAGGCTAAGTGCATTTTGACGCCACGTGAAGTGTCGAAGGCCCGCGGGCAGGAGGTCACGGAACAGACCCAGCAGGTGCCATGGCTTGACTGAGATTACTGGCAGATGCACCAGCTGTGCTCCCCACTCTGTCAACTATCTGCGTTTTATCCGCCCGGTGCTCCGCTCGTTGTTGTGAGCGTCGCTTCTCTGCCCCCAGCAGCGTCCTTTACGAACATCCTCCACGGAGGGCGATCTTGACATTGGTGGTACCAGTCATTGGGACGTGCAAACAGCTCCACATACTTGTGTACCACATCATTCCATCTCTTCTCTCGCCCGTGTCGTGCCCGTTTAGCCCCCTTTATCCGGCCAAACGGAAAAAGCTGCTTTGGCATGCGGTGGCTGGGCTACATGACCCAGCCAATGCAGCCTCACTTTCTGAAGGAGTTCACTGATGGCACTGTGTCCAGACCTTTCAAGGATCTGTGAGTTCCTCACACAATCCCGTCTGATTAAACCCAGGATGGATCGTAGGCAGGCCAGTCTGAATGTTTCAAACATCGCACTGCCCACGTGCGCGAAGTTCTCCACTTCTCCACAAGTGCCCCATCACTTTTGAGGCGTTGAGGTAGGGGAGCATTTTATGACATAAAACACCCAGGCAAGTGCCTTGTTTTTGTAGGGATCGTGGTAAGGCCCCATGTATGTATGTATGTTGAACTTCTTTCGCACCGTACGTAGCGAAGCGTGCCCAACGGTTGCCTAAGGAACGTCAGTTGCACGTTCCAGCAGTAGCGTCTCCAGATCCTTCTCAGCGAGCAGCCATCGCCAGATCATCCGCATGCATAATCAAGCACCACTCTGCACTAGAGTGTTCAATAAGTTATACTGCACCCATCAACATCACACTACCGCACAGCAGTGTACAGTACTGCACATTGAGGGCCGTTTCCTCTCCGCATATTCCGATCGGCATCCTAAGAATGCAGTTTTTGTTTTATAGTCGTGCAGTGATTCCCACAAATTGTTGATTCAAGCCGTCCTCCGGACAGGATGTGGTTGAACAATCGATAAAACCCAGCGCCGTGACGTCATCACCAATGTCCACTTTTGTGATATGTTAACTACCTCGCCTGATACACAAGAGGTCGTGGGTTACATCCCGACGACACTGACGCCTGCATATTTCGAGTTTGCGTGTCTCTCTCCCCGTGCCCGCGTGTAATTGTCGAGGGGTTCTCCGGGTTTTCTCTCCACATTTAGAAACAACGTCACGCCTTTGGAGTATGCGGCTGCTATACCACGTGACCATAAGCGACTTCGTTGAGCTATCATTTGTGATAACCAGGTCGCTCATGGACAAGAAGAGCTTTATGGCTCGGTGGGGCCTTACTTAGTAAAATAAAACTACATTTAGTTTAAATCATGTTTAGTTTAGATGCGAGACGCGAGAGGGCGCAACGCCAGGAGGGGGCGGAGTGGGTGGGCGGTGGCGCAGTGGTTAGCGCCAAGCTGCGCTACGAACCCGGCGAGCCGAGTTCCATTCCCGCTCACGGCCAACATCGGTGACGAATGTCTGAACCGGTCCTTGGTCTGCCGTAGGTCGACTCAGCATTTAAACGAGTACCTGGTGCGGTGTAGAAACATCGCCACTGGGGGAGACAAAGGCGGACGGGCCTGGTGCTGGCCACCACACCCCCTCGTGTGCCGTGCCGGCCTTCGTAGGTGCTACTCGCTAACAGCACTCCCCCTAACAGTATGTTAAGGCTATACGGGTGACATTTGTCTTTGTGTTGAGGGGCGGTGGCGCAACGGTTGAGTAACTCGCGCTACAAATCCTGAAGTATATTCGCGGCCACGGCTAACATCAGGAGCGAGTGATTCCGAAGCTGTCCTGGGTCTCGCACGAGTGGACCTGGCACCGAGGCGCATGCGACTGGGCGTGGTGCTGGCCACGCCACCGTGGGTCTCAAGTGAGGTTACCACCAACAAAATTTGTCGCCAAATCTGTTAAAGATTCGTGTGCGTACTCTTTGGTGCTTTCGGTAAAGTCACGTCGGTGAAAATAGTAATAAAATAAAAATAAAAAAGTGAAAACAACTAAATTAAATCACGAAATTTCGGGCGCAACACATCTAGAATTCGTGTGCGTGTCTGTGATTCGTCAGGCAACAAAGAAGACAGTCCCCGTGTTGACTGCGATTATGGTAATGTATCGACGTTGACGATCATGATCTTTGATGACCGCGATGATTCCTTCTAAGGATGATGATGAAAATATAAAAATTAAGAGATGATGATCGAACTAGTTATTTTGATATCCGATGTCGTTGATGATGATGCATTGTAGACAATGCTGATTAAGACTCACCCAAGAGCAGCAGCGGCACCACCATCACCATCATCACTCTGACCGTCTCCGTGTAGCGCATCCTGGCTTGCTGTCGATTTAGCGATGACCCAGTGAGCCGTCTCGTGCGTTGTGAGACCCAAAATCCGCACAGTCGCGGCTCCGTTGCTTGTTTCGTCAACTCCTCGAGCGTCTCCCTTTATATTGGAGCCAGGGTGCACCGAGGGGATCTCGGGGATGGGCGGCTCGTCACGTCCGCTCTTTCACTACGGCTGGGGAGAGGGGGGGGCGATATTTGGTGGACTTCAACTCCCTGCCTTCTTCTTCGGCGACTACTTTAGCCACCTCCAAGGCGACCTCCGAGAATAAATGTGATGACACGAATTATAATCGATGATTAAATACATTATACACTATGGCTAGGTAAACTACGACGAGTAAACTACGATGAGAAATAATAAAAACGTTGTACAAAAATGCAAAAAATAAAAGTACTGTTGACATACGTTGCGTATGTATCCAGCAGAGCCACACCGAGTCCAATGACTCTTTGTCAAGAGGATCCTGCCTCTCTCTGTGTTGTTTTCAGCCAGTTCAAGATTTTACCATAGATGGCGATGTTTCGTGCAATGGCCGAGGATAAACACGTGCGCGTGTTGCAACATTACGTTGAATACTCTTTGGTTCTTTCGGTAAAGTCACGGAGGTATAAAATAAATTAAATCACGACGTTTCGATCGCAACACAAGCAATCATCATCAGGTGGGAAACCCACAGCAATAATTTTTTTTTGCTGAAGTGGGAGAGATGCCGTGGTAAGAGGTTATATAGGTAGAGCATCCATAATTATAATCAAACCTCGTTTTATAGATTATTTTTGGAAAAAAACGGTGGTGAATGTGGCCTCCAGTGGCTGGAGGCGTCCGTTGACCCCAATGCAGGCAAATTGAAACATTGATTGGGAGACGGGCGACTCGATTGCGCGTATCGTGAGCTGAAAGGACAACAGGTCTTGTCATTGTACAGCACGTAAACGACAGGAGGTACAAGAACAATGTGCATGCATAATGTACATCCTTGATGGACGTTGATAACTACCATATGATTAACCCAGCCGGCAGGGGATGCCCATTAGATGCATTCATTAACCCCCCCCCCCCCCGACTTCGCACGTGAAGGGCTCACAAATGACGTCATCACATCTACGAAACAGGAGGATTTCTCCGTAAATCTGGCTGTCGCCTGATGAAGCTGGTGGTCAGTTGCGTATCGGCAATCGCTACGAGGAACGTCAACCGCGTCACAACAGCGCAGCTGAATTTCTCAGTAAGGAGTCAGCCCCAGAATGCATTGCAGGCGCGCTCCGTACGCTACCGTGCACGTGGCGCTCTGGGTGCAACCCCTCACCCCCATTGCTTCATCATAATTATACTAACAACGCACCTGGCTACCCCGAGCTTATACAAATTGGTGTATTCGGTTCGCATATACTGCAGAGTGCACAATTGTACGTGCGATTAAAACGCAGGTGAGCTCACACCGGCTACACGTCACCTCCTCGACGCCGACGGGAAGGGAGATTCACAATATTTGTGCGATCCACTGACATCTGTAATGAGAACAATAGTAATGCCAATCGTGTACACAGCGGCACGTCACTGACCAAAATACCAATTCAATAGACTCGGTGTGGGAGGAAGCCAGACAATACAATCTCCGAGGGCTGGGGGAGAGGGAGGGAGCGGGGGGGGGGTTAGGAGGGGGCGGGATTCATTAACGCGGCTATTCGTTGACACGTCACCTGTGCCCGCGCGCGCTCTCAACTCATCACGCGCCGCCAATTAGGACCCCGACGGGGGCGCTGGGAGACAGACCACGGGCTGGGGGAGACAAACCACGAGCTGGGGGAGGAGACGGACCACGGGCTCCCCGGGCGAGGAAGGCGACGGCAGCAAGTGGCTGGGCAAGAGGAGTGAGTGTGCTGACATCGCTCGACCCGCGTCTTGCACCACATGACACCGCACCACCGGCTGCGCGCGGATTAATGCTACGGCCATGCGCCCTCCCCCCTCCCACACCCCCCACACCCCCCCACACCCCCCCGAGCTCGCGGGGCAAGTGGCGAGGGGGAAGGAAGTGGCTCGCTCGCCCCGCGTGCGTCGGCCGCGGGGAATGTCGAGCCCCGCGATGACGGGTGGCACGGATTCGTGGGGCAGTTCGAGGAGGAGTTCTGGTTGAAGGGCGGCGTCCTCGGCTTTGTCGTGCGAGGCGAGGAGGCTGAGCAGCCTGCGAGGAGGGTTCGTTGGTGCGGCGACTCTAAATGCCTGGAGTCGACAGCGTCTCGCGATGTATCTAAGAATCGGCTTCCTGGCAATACAACTGGCGGCGTGAAGATGGTCAAACTCCAAACAGAAACCTTTAGCAAGGAATCCTGTCTGCATTAACCACACGTACTTGTGGTGAACATGCAAACAAAAACATGGTCTGGTCATATATTATAAATGCATTGTCTTTTAAAACTGATTGGTTTCCATCACAGACAGCCTTCTGTAGACCCGAGACTCAAAGTGTTGGAACAGAGAACGCCAAAAGGCGGACAGCACAGAGACAATGCACTATCAGGGCATTTATAGCTACAACATGGGACCTTTCCTGCCAGTATCAGCGTATAAGAATAGGTTTTAGGGGGCGTCCATAAATGACGTCACGCACCTGGGGGGGGGGTCAGACATTTGTGACGATGTGTAATGAGGAGGGGGGTTTGATAAATGTGACGTCACATCAAAATGCGCAACTTTAAATAAACGTAAACAACACGTTCTACTTAATTAAATAGACTTTTTAATAAATGTTTTCTCCTACAACATCAGAGTGCAGCGCCACATTAAACACGCACTACAATGACAATAGTTTAAAGCGATTTGAAGCACGTTTTTTTTTTTGGGGGGGGGGCAAAGCTTTGTGACGTCATATTTGAGGGGGGGTCTGATTTTTGTGACGCCGTGTGACGATGGGGGGGGGGGGGGGATAAAAAATCGTCAAAAATCGCGTGGCGTCATTTATGGACGGCCCCTTACCCTTTCTGGCAATAAAACAGATAAAGGGTAAACCCATAAAGGGTAAAACCTATTGTTATTCTTTGACACTGGCAGGAGAGGTCACGTGCTGTCTTGAGATCCTTGCATTCGACTTCCGAATCCGCTACGGGGATGCTGTCCCCGGTACGGAGATGCTGTCCCCGCTACGGGGATGCTGTCCCCGCTACGGGGATCCTGTCCCCGCTACGAGGATGCTGTCCCCGGTACGAGGATGCTGTCCCCGCTACGGGGATGCTGTCCCCGGTACGAGGATGCTGTCCCCGCTACGGATATGCTGTCCCCGGTACGAGGACCTCGCGGTGCGCCACAGACGTCGTCCTCGAGGTGGTGTCGCTGCGGGCAAGAGGCGGTCGTGGGATGCGACGACGACGACGACGCTCCGAGGGTTGCGGTTGGCGGCAGTCGCGTCCCGAGGGGCGGGCAGGGGGGGGGGCTTGCCTCCCCCGGTGGCCAAAGCTACGAGTTGGGGCCGCCTTGACAAACACCACGAGGTGTTCTCAACAAGAGTGTGCGAGAACAAACACTCATTTCAAACGCGGTTTACTTTTATCTTCATGAAAATGCTTTCACATGGAACTCTGGGATATTTCTTTCATTTAACACGTAGGCTTTAAGACGTCGGCTTTCGCGACCAAAACCATCCATTATAGAGGTTTATATTGCAAAGGGGCGGGGGTGGGGGGTAACTACGGAGCTGTAGTGGCTGCATTTTGCGAAGTCGGAGCGCTTCGACAGCATAACAGTGTTCGAGACCGAACATTGATTGAGGCAAGAGCAGCTGCGAGATAGAAATCCTCGGTGCGACCGTAGGAGATGAATCAAACACCGCCTGCTGTCTGTCTGGGGGCCCCGGCTGACCGATTGCCGCTCCCCCAGAGCTGGTAATGTCGTCCTTACGTCACTGATAACGTCGTTACTACGTCACTGGTAATGTTACTACGTGACTGGTTATGTAGTTACTATGTCACTGGTAGTGTCGTTACTACGTCACTGGTAATGTCGTTACTACGCCACTGGGAATGTCGTCACTACGTCACTGGGAATGTCGTCACTACGTCCTAGGATGTCGGTCACACCCTACTGTCACTACGCCACTGGGAATGTCGTCACTACGTCACTGGTAATGTCACTACGCCACTGGGAATGTCGTCACTACGTCACTGGTAATGTCACTACGCCACTGGGAATGTCGTCACTACGTCACTGGTAATGTCGTCACTACATCACTGGTAATGTCACTACGCCACTGGAAATGTCGGCACTACGCCACTGGGAATGTCGTCACTACATCACTGGTAATGTCACTACGCCACTGGTAATGTCGTCACTACGCCACTGGGAATGTCACTACGTCACTGGTAATGTCACTACGCCACTGGGAATGTCGTCACTACGTCACTGGTAATGTCACTACGCCACTGGGAATGTCGTCACTACATCACTGGTAATGTCACTACGCCACTGGTAATGTCGTCACTACGCCACTGGGAATGTCACTACGTCACTGGTAATGTCGTCACTACGCCACTGGGAATGTCACTACGCCACTGGGAATGTCACTACGTCACTGGTAATGTCGTCACTACGTCACTGGAATGTCACTACGTCACTGGGAATGTCGTCACTACGCCACTGGGAATGTCACTACGCCACTGGGAATGTCACTACGTCACTGGTAATGTCGTCACTACGCCACTGGTTGGCGCTCGTCCCTCGCTGGAAAATGGGCGAGAGGCGTTGCTGCTGGCTGGCGAGATGTATGTCGGTATGGCTCGAGCCGTGGTCTGTCGCCTCGCGCGGTTGGGTGGGGGGGGGGCGTGGAGGGGGGGCGTGGAGGGGCTGGGTGGAGGGACTGGAGTGGGGGGGCCGTGGAGGGGGGGGGGGCGTGGAGGGGGGGGGGGCGTGGAGGGGGGGGAGCGTGGAGGGACTGGAGTGGGGGGGCCGTGGAGGGGGGGGGGCGTGGAGGGGGGGGGGCGTGGAGTGGGGAGGGGTGCGTGGAGGGACTGGAGTGGGGGAGGGGGGAGCGTGGAGTGGTGGGGGGGGCGTGGATAATCGGGGCGGTGGTGCCTACCCACGTGGCTTCCTGTAATCCTGCACTTTGGAGGCAGCAGCAGCAGCGAGGGCTGGTGGAGGACCGCGCGCGAGTCGTGGTTTACCCCCTTCTCGTGGGCGTCCTGGAGGTGCCGGACCCTGGCTCGCCAGGGGAAGGCGGTACCAGCCGCGTGTGGACTCAGCTCCACATGTTGTCTCGATATTGTATGCCCCTTCGCACGTGTGGGCTTTCTCCAGGTGCTACGGTTTCTTCCCCTATGTAAACACTCATTGCTGTGCCGATAACACCTTCATATATAGAGGACCACCAGAGCTTGGGCAATTGTTGGTAGCGCCGAGCTGCTGCTGCTGCTGCGGTCTTCCGCTCGCCCCTCTTGACTCGTCCCCTCTCCTCTCGGACAGCGAGCAAACACTGCTGCAGCGAGGCAGCAAGTTGACATTATAATTAATGTCAACTTCAATGATAATTCCAACTTGTGGTGGTGGCATCTGTATCTGCAGAATATGAAAAACCAGTGGCATCTACATCTACAGGAGATTATATACAACTTTGAAAGCTACCCCCCCTCCCCCACCCCCGTGTTTAGTGTACATGCCGTACAACACGTTTGGAATCGACAGGAACAAATCGACTTACGAACAGACCTCTGGAACCTGACCCGTTCGTAAGTAGAAGAGTACCTGTACTGGAATGTGTCACGTGACCTATTAACCACGGCCATAGCTAGGGACATACTGGGTGTGGTGTGCCGGGTGTTCTTCAACGTGTACAGTGTCTATGTCATGCGGGGGAGCGGGGGGGGGGGTGTACGTGACCCCCCCCCCCTCCAGCCACGGGAGGGCGCTACATGCACCACGTGCTAACAACCAAGTACGCGGGGGGGGGGGGGGGTCTGTGATCCCCCCCCCCCCCGTGAATCCAGCAGCGAGGGTGACGTCACCGCAGACTTCAGCACCGCGGACAGCGGCACCCGGTGGGACCCGGCGCCCAACCGCGCCTGGCGATGAGGAATCGATTCTTGATATTTCATAAGCTCGCGATTCGTGCATCGACGCGCTTTTAAATAATCGTTTAAATCATATAATGCGTATTAAAACAACTATATTACTTTATAGAAACCACTATAGGATGATTGGTGATGTTGACGTTATTGCAGTGTTTGAAACACAATTGCAGTAATTATCGATTTCGGTAAACGAAATTGACCGTTTATCCGAGGTGAAAAAGGATTGACAGGCGCTGTGAACATCAGGTGAGTAGTGGCCGATGTCAATAGGGGAGTGGCAGCCAAAGACTGCTATGCATCCGAGGAGAGTGTAGACACGGAGGAGATGGGGCGATGGCTGCCGCTTGTGTGCATGCACCGGGTGGATGACCACGTCACAGGATCGTTAGATGTTGTGGTGGCGGCGGCTTGGGGAGGTCTTCATCCAGTAGTCGATAGACCCTGGCTGCTTGGTTCATTATGATGACGACACCATATACGTTCCGAAAAAATCTCTCCAGGAGGGGTCCAGCATTTCATGGCTCCACCTCCCCGGTGGACGCTCCCTCGGGCGTGAGTCCTCCTTTGGCGCCCGCGGACTCTCCAGTGAAGTGGGCTCGTGCACGGAGCCGTCGACGTCTCGGCGGCGTGATGACCGCCACGGGATGATATCAACACTGGCACCAGCACGGGCTTTATAGAGATCATCTTTATTTTATAAAAATATTGGTCACGAGCTCCGAAATCGTGGGGGTTAAGCTTAACATTTGGAATGGCTCTGAAGGCGCGGTGCCGTGGGTAGTAGTAGTAGTAGCAGAGGTGGGACAAAGTCATTGTTATGCAAGTCCAAGTCGAGTCTGAAGTCATCAAATTCATGACTCGAGTCTGACTCGAGTCCAAGTCACATGACTCGAGTCCACACCTCAGAGGTGGGACAAAGTCATTGTATGCAAGTCCAAGTCGAGTCCTGAAGTCATCAAATTCATGACTCGGCGACTGTGGGAGTCTCAAGTCGAGCAGGACTCGGGGGGGGGGGGGGTGACATATGTCCCGTAACGTCGGGCATGACAGCTGTCGGGGGTCTCGAGTTGATTTCAAATCTCAAGTTTTCGGCGTTCACATCACTCGCCACGACCATGTAGCGAACTGGTGGTCTGCGACTGTCTCGACCTTGGCATAAATATCTGACCGCCCCAACGTCGACCCAACGTCGTTACGAGCGCACACGTCAACTGACATGCCGCAGTCACTTCTGCCACTGCAGCAGGGCCACAGGAGCATAGGACAACATCGGTTCAACACGTGTGCTATTTATCTTAACAGTGCTTCAAAGCTCCCGCGTGGCGGAGTGTATTCTGTATACGTATGGCAGCGAGTGGTGGTGCAGTGTTTGGCGCACTGCGCTATGAACCTGCAGACCAGAGTCAGATTCCTGGCCACGGCCAATACCAGTGGCGAGTGATCACTCAACCGCTCCAGTGCGGCTCCAATTTCACGAACCCGACCTGGCCAGCGTGGTGACGAGTGGTGACGCGGCCTCTATGCCCGACACGGCGTCGGACTGTTATTATGGTTACACACTACATAATACTTGAGCCGTCTTGACAGTGCTATTGTCGTCAAGGTTACGATACACGAGGGGGGCAACTATCGCACGCAATCTCACCCGGCGGCGACGCGTTTGCTAAGAGCAACTGTGTGAGGCGGTGGCGTAAAGTGACGAAGTTCGGTCCATACAACTCTATCACGCGGCGCGACAACTTCCCAGTGGATACTGCAGGCGACCTTTGTGTGCCACAATTGCCCTATAATTGCCCTTAATACCAAGCACTTTGTTTGTAACAGACGCGACTCGGTGCAACACTGAGTTAAAGTCCATGCTGCCCCCCCCCCTCTCTCCACTTGCTTTCGTAAGTCGTCATTGTGGGTAAAATCCACATTCCTCCGACGGGGTCAAATTATTCGACGGGGCAATTGCTGTTGACCCCCCCGCCACCATTCATGCCTGCACTCCGCCAAGTGGGAGGCGTTTTATTATCCCTAAGTGGGAGGTTGGGGCTGAGTCGGTACCCGGACCGAGAATTCAACTCACAACTTCTCAATTGCGAGTCGAACTCTACTCTCTGACCTAGAGTGTGCCAGGAGTGAAAACTCACCTGGCGCGGTGCGCAAACGTGAGCACTGGGGAGACAAAGGCGGCCGGGCGTGGGGCTGTGCCCACTACCACCGCCTCGTGCGCCGCGCAGGCCTTAATAGATGCTCGCTAACAGCACTTGCCTCCTACAGTCTATAGGGGGGGGGTTTGTCATTGTATCGTGTATATATTAATATATATTTGTTTAAGAGCGTGCGTGAGAGGGGCTGTGTTCATCTCGGCATCCGGCGGCACTTGCGATTCTTTGGGGGGGGGCTAGGGGGCCTCGCCCGACCCCCCCCCCCCCCCGTTCAGAGGCAGCTCCTGGTGGTCGCTGGCGCGCCACTCAAGTTCAAGGTCAGAAGGTCACGACGACGAGCAATGCCGCTGACACCGCCACTGCCACCTCGCCATCGCTGCCTCCCGGCTGTCAGATTACACGAGAAGCTGCACAGGCGACACCCGTCCACCAACGTTCTCCCCTTGTAGTCAATCTACTCGCAGAGTTTTACAACCACCCGGAACGAGCCCTCCCCACCATATTGGACCACACAAGCCAAGCAGGCTTTGAGCCTGGTAGGTGTACGGCACTTGGATGGGTGACCGACCACGCAGGGGCTTGCCAGGTGTTGTAGGCGCGTGGCCAGGAGGAGGCGGTGCCGAGTGTCTGCTCCCCCCCCCTCTCGTCTAGTCGCGGCCAAGCTGTCCGAGTGGAGCTTGGCCAGTCCGCTCCCGAAAGCGAACACTGAGACTCCCCGAGGCGTTCCAGGCTCGTCACTAATTGGCAGCGTCGTCACGACTGCTGCAGTGGTTCGACGCAGGGACGCTGCCGCTGGACTTGCAGTGGCATAGATTTGCACTGCAGAGTGAATGAGTCGGCAGGTCGCGAGTGGTGGGGTAGAGTGTGGGTACCACCACCTCGTCCACGACGTCTGGCTCGTGTGGAAGGAGCTCCGCGGACCCTCCCTGAAGCGTAGGCTCTTCTGGCGGCAGGGGCGTGAGGGGGCACTTGCAGGGCTGCGCCGTCGCCTTCGCTATGGGGTGACGCTCAACTCGTGTGTACTGCACGGGAGAGGCGCGGTATTCCAATGTATTCTAATTTCGTACGTGGCCGGCACCCCCCCACCCACCCCCTCCTGGGCAAATTCGCGGCGTGTTCCGTGGCGGCCACCGCCGGACACGCGGCGCTTGTCGGAGAGCGCGAGGTGCGTCAACGATCACGTGACGAGGGAGGGCGGCCTCGGTGGACGTCTCGGCCTCGGTAGACGTCTCGGCGTCGGTGGACGTCTCGGCCTTGGTGGACGTCTCGGCCTTGGTGGACGCTGCTGCTGCTCTCTTCTGCCCGAGAGGGAGGTTCAGAGTGCTCCATAGCCCCCCCCCCCCCGCCTCTCTCCCGGGGTTGCCGTCGTCCCTGTGGCGTGCGGCCACGCCGCGTGTGAGAAGCTGGGCTCGAGGCGCCGTGACTCGGTCGGGTGGGGTGGGGCTCTCGTTGGTTGACGCTGCACGCGAAGTTTCCTGCCAAGCGTCGCTTCGTGTGACAGTCGACGACGACGACCTCCACTGTTTGCTCTCCGCCCCCGCGGTCACCTCGCGTAGGCACGGCGGCGCCCACGCGCTCGCGAGGTAAAGAACGGCAGGCGCAGGCGCGCGGCTACTTGCAGATGAACTGGTCCACCATGTGCGTGCACCGCTTGCACTTGACGTAGCAGCACCAGTGGAACTTGCAGTGGCAGCGCTCCACGAGCGCGCTCTTGAACTGGTCGTAGCCCCTGCCGCAGCACATGAGCTCGCAGCCGTCCATGCCCGCCGAGGTCTTGTTGCACGCCCGCCCCACCGTGCCCAGCGACCCCGTCGTCTCGTTGCGCGTGCAGAAGTCGGGGCTCGCGTCCAGGTGCACGAGGTCGTCGGCCGTGGGCGGGTTGAGGCGCCCGTTGAGGAGCTCGAGTCTGGCGCGCCGGCCCAGCCGCATGGCCGTGGCGCCGTCGTAGCGGTCCTTGAGCCGCTCGCCGACCGCCCGGAAGTCGGCGAGCTGCAGCCAGCACGTGCGGAGCGAGCACGACCCGGACACGCCGTGACACTTGCACGCCACCTCGGCTTGGTTGTACACCCACTGCGGGGCGTGGGTGGGGGGCGGGAGGGGAGGGGGTGGGGGAGAGCCGTCACATGGAGCGAGGGAGAGTGGGGAGCGCGTGTCTAGGTGTGGGGGTGAGGAGTTGGGGTGCTGGGTGAGGAGTTGGGGTGCTGGGTGAGGGGTTGGGGTGCTGGGTGAGAGGTTGGGGTGCTGGGTGAGGGGTTGGGGCGCTGGGAGCGGGCAGGAGCCTTCTCGGTGGCCCGAGGAACTGGGAGCTGCATCACGCCACAACTGTGCGTGTTAGACCCGCCAACGCGATTCAAATAGATAAATATATATTTATTTACATAATTCCTCCGCCACCGCGATGATGATGTCGTAATGTGACAGCGTACTAAGTGAAAAACAGCGTGCAATTACTGCACAATGTGTCACTCTAGTTCATGAACGTGGACGTGCCGATCCACTGCTGGATGGAGGCCTCCACACCCCCCCCCATCCTGCTACTCTCGACTCCCGCGGCCCCTGTCCCCATGGGTACCCCCACTTCCCTGGGCTCTCGGCTTGCACTGGGCGAGTGAACAATTTTGACTTACCGCGAAGCGCGTAGTCATGCGTGCCGCGATGCTACTGATGACAGCGACCAATATGATGATGATCCTGATAGTATCGATGACCGTGGATTTTAATGACGGTGATCATGGCGACAACAAGGATCATTGATGATGGTGGTGATGGTGGTGATGGCGACGAATGCGTCGGTCATAATGTACATTCCCCATTCGCCCCCTCCCCTACCTACCCTTCCGACATTCCCTCCCTTCCGATATGAGGAGGCCACTGGAGCGATGCAATTTTACATCGTCTCGATTGAAAACTCATTTCTTTTTTCGTGTTTCAGTGTGTTGTCCTTTCCCCGCACCTCCGATTATCACGGTAGGCTCCGTAGGACGGGAATAAAGTTCAACATCCCCCCCTTATCCCATGTCCTCCCGTCCCCTTCCAAGCATATCTCACCCTGCGCCCGGCCTCGTTGTTGTGCATGTTCATGAGCGCGCGCGCGTGGCCCGCGGAGCCCCTGGGGTGCGACTGCTCGCGCTCCCTGGCGTCCACGAACTCCTTGGCGAAGCGGTAGCCGTACTCGGTGTTGTCGCCGCAGCCGCCCCACAGCCAGTCGCGCTGCAGCGCGCGCGGCCGCGCGGCGCGGCTGCAGCCGCACGTGGCCAGGTCGCCCTCGCGGCACGCGCGCGACACCGCGTGCACCACGCCCGCGGCCGACACGGCGTACATGAAGGCGGTCTCACGCGAGCCTTGGGGGCGGGGGGAGGAGAGACACGGGGAGATGTGGAGATGGTGTCAGGAGACACGTGGACTTAATCGGGGAAGTGGATAAACGTGGGGAGATTATGTTGGGAGGAACGGGGAGGTGTGGATTGATGGGGTCGGACACTGACAAATTTTGGGAAATGCAGAGATCGTTGAAGACACGGGGAGACGTGATAACTCCTCTGCACTCTTCATTTACCAAACACAGAGACAAAGATCCCCCGTCTAGCCTGACCAGAGTGTAGGGGCAAGTACTGCTAGTGAGTAGCACCTAATTCTTAAACTCCCTGCTCCCTTCCCTGCCTTTGTTTTATTCCTTCCTTGATGTGAGATCTCCCGTATACCGTCAGCGAACTCGGCGCGGGTCGCCGTTCCACTCTCGACGTCGCGCCGCGCTCGGGGCCTCTGCGCGAGTGGGCGCTCCGCTGTCGACGTCGCCCGCTCGCTGCCCTGCCGAGGGTGTTGGCCGAGTGGTGCGTGGCCCGAGTTCGCGACTCGCTGCCTGCGATATCGTGATTTAGTCTCTGCTGTCACCTCCTCCGTACTCTCACCAAACTTCTCCGCGGGTGATTTTTTGTAAATCGGCTGCCGGCTGGATATTCCTTACCCACGCGAATCAAATACAATCAATCAAATCAAAGAAATTATTATCCGTATGTATGTTACTCTATGTTGAACTTCCTTCGCACCGTACGTAGCCAACTGTGCTGATCGGTGGTGCGATTATCACGGTTGGGGTTGGTGGTTGTCATTGTCGTTGGCGTGTCAACTTAATTAAACTAGTTAAACTATTAAACTATTACCTGGTAAAAAATAAATGTTTATTTAATTTTACCAGGTAAGGCCTACCGAGCTCCGTAGCTCAAAGGGAAAAACCGGAGGACCCGGAGAAAAATCCACGCGACCACGGGGAGAGAGACACGCAAACCCTAAATACACAGCAGCAGGCGTCAGGGTTGGGATTGAACCCACGCCCTTCTGTATACCAGGCGAGGTAGTTAACATCTCCTAGCCACCGTGGCGCCCCTAACTCGCTTGCCTCGTTGTAGCAACTCCGTGGACTCACCGATGTGCATGAGGCGGCCGAAGACGCCGCTGGAGCCGTCCACCGCCGAGCAGTTCCACCTGCGCGTTCGGAACTGGTGCTGGCACTCGCGCAGCGCGGCGCGGGCTCCCTCGGCGATGTGCACCATGTGGTCCTGGTACAGCTGGCACAGCTTGCGCTGGCCCGGGGACAGCCCCGACAGCTGCGCGCACAGCGGCCGCGCGCCCAGGATGTACACTTCGGGCCTCTGCACGGGGCTCAGCGCCAGCGACCTGCGCTCGTTGCACCATCCACGAGGTGGGGTGGGGGCCGTGAGCGAGCGAGACTTGAGAGTGCGTTCAGAGGATGGGGTGATCGTAGAGACCCACAGAGAGGACCCGTAGAGAGGAGCCATAGACTCAGAGACACACAGACTCCGTGATTGTACACTCCGGTAGGCCATTGTGTGAGTGTGTGTATGAGTTTGTGTGTAACCAGTGACGATTATCGGAACCGGTCCGGAGCCTCCTCTAGGTCGACTCAGACTCAAATGTTTACGTGGCGCGGTGTGTAAAAAAAAAACTTTGCTACTCGGGAATCAAAGGCGGCCGGGCGTGGTGCTGGCCACCCACCCCTCGTGTGCCGTTCCGGCCTTCATGGATGCTTGCTGACAGCACTTTCTCCAACAGTCTGTGTACGTATGAGTGTCTATGAGTGTATTAGTGTGAGTTTGTGCGATTGCGAGTATGGGTGTGTGTGGGGGTGCCCCTTACCACCACGTGCTCGCCCCCGTGAGACTGCGCGTGCACGCGAGGATGGCGAACGCGCGCACCCACATCGACGCGACAGCACCCTGCGCTCGCACACACAAAGACAAAGAGCCCCCGTATAGCCTTGACGGACCGTTTGAGGCAAGTGTTTGTTAGCGAGCACCAATGAAAGCCGGCACGGCACACGACGAGATGAGTGGCCAACACCACGCCCGGTCGCCTTTGTCTCCCTAGTGGGGACGTTTACTTATCACAGCAGATACTCATTTGAGGCTGAGTCGACCTAGTTGAGGCCCAGGACCGGTTCAAATATTCACCACTAGTTATTGGTCGTGAGCGGGATTTGAACTCGGCTTTCGGGTTTCTTAGCGCGGTGCGCTAACCATTGCGCCACCGCTCCCCATTGCGCACTCACACCCGCCATGATCTCTCTACTGCTGGCTGAAGGTTTCTGCGCTCCTCCCAAGCCGCCTCCGTCTCTCACGGACTCGCGACGTTAACGATCCGTCTCGCTCCCGCACGCGAGCTCATTCCATGGCTCCATCTCTGCCGAGTGACGCGCTTTCGGGGGGGAGCGGGGAGTGTGCGAGAGTGCTTCGGCGTTACGGTGTCCGATGTAACCCTTCAGGTTTAGTTTGAAGATGTCGGGGGGGGGGGGGGGGCACGTGGTGGGGGTTGCCAGGGGTCCCCCACCTATGGACGGCCCTGCATGCCCGGGCCAAACCTTGGCCGGACACTCTGACGCGCTCGCCTCTCGCGCTCGCCTCTAGAGTCCTCAACTTGCACCGCGCAGCCCCCGCCACTCCCCGCGACTCGCCGATGGACGCTGCGTCCCGTGCTCCTCCTCCTCTCCGCGCGCTGCTCGGCCGCTGTTCCCTTCTAAGTCGCTCTGCCTCTGACCCACAACTCCATAGCAGGGCCACAGTTACGGAATCAGAATATTTATTGACACTTGGAGGAATCCGATGAGCTATTACACCGGCACGTTTTGGATATATTGAACTCGATTATGAATACATACATTGATCTACACAGACAAAGAGCCCCCGTGTAGCCCACACAGTTGGGGCAAGTGCTATTAGCGAGCGCCTATGAAGGCCGGCACGGCGCACGAGGGTGTTTGTTGAACAACACCGCTCCCGGCCGCCTTTGTTTCCCCAGTGTTGATGTTTACACACCGAACCAGCTGCTACTAATTTCAAGGCTGAGTCTGAAGTCGAACTCGTGTCACTGGGATCGTATCGCGACGCGCTCACCACTGCGCCACTGCTCGCCACCGCAGACACACACACATACACAGACACACACAGACACACAGACACACAGACACGCATGCACAGTGTGATATATCGGTCTATTTAACCCATTGTAACGCAAACTGGAATGCGCTTCGGCAATCACATTTGTACTCGATGCGGTAATGCACGCGTTATTATGCATGCATGAGTGTGTGTTTGTGTGTGTTTGTGTGTGTACGTGTATGTGTGTACGTGGGGAGCGGTAGTGCACTGGTTACGGCGTTGCGCTACGAACCCGGCCACCCGTGTTCGATTCCCGCTCACGACCAGTAGCAAGAGGCCGGATATTAGAATCGCTCCTGGTGGCCTCCCCCTTGGTCGACTGTGTGTGTCAACATCATCAGCACTCGGCCAGGCGTGGTGTAGCCACCCCCTCGAGTGCAGTGACAACCTTAATAGGTGCTCGCGCACAAGGTCATCATCATTAGTATTAACATCATTGTCCAAAGTGGAGCAGTGGGAGGGAAGACGCAGCGAGAGAAGTGAGGAGACCTGCAGTGTGGTGGGTGACTGACTGACTGGGTGACTGACTGACTGGGTGGGTGACTGGGTGACTGACTGACTGGGTGGGTGACTGACTGGGTGGGTGACTGACTGGGTGACGGTTATTGTAACCTGCAGTATCGTGGTTGAACACAGTGTTGATAGTGGTTGTGGTGGTTGTGGTGGTTGAACAGTGTGGTCGTGCTGGTAGTTGAACACAGTGTGGTGGTGTGGGGAGCGGTAGTGTAGAAGTTAGCGCGCTGCTCACACCAATACGTGAGTGACGATTATCTGAACCGGTCTTGGGCCTCCCCGAGGTCGACTCGGTCTCAAATGCGGCTGGGCGTGGTGTTGTCCACCCTCGTGTGTGAGTGACTGGGTGAGTGAGTTGGTGAGTGAATTGGTGAGTGAATTGGTGAGTGAGTTGGTGAGTGAGCGGGTGACTGAGTGGGCTTTGCTTCTCGCCCCCCCCCCCCCCCCTTAGCAGTGTCACATCACGGTGTCACCCCGTGCCCCATGTGTGTCACACCACTCCTCAGGTCACCACACCGATGGGTTGTCACATTCCAGGAACGAGTGTCACCACATTCCTCAGGGTGTCACAACACTCCCCCCTTGTGACACCCCCCTGGTGGGTGTCACAACACACCCCCAGTGTCACACCCGGCCTTAAGAGCGTCACAACAAGACGAGTGTCACAGCATTGGCAACACCATCACAAATCACAGACACGGCGAGTGTCACATCCGGCCGACTTGTGCCACGCCGCCGTGTCGGGTGTCACGTCCATTCCTCAGGATGTCACAAGACTGCACAAACATTTGTCACTGCAACTGATGGGTGTCACGTCCCGTCCAAAGGTGTCACACCCAGCCCAAGTGTGTCACAACACACCCAGCCCATATCAGAGACAACGGAGAAGTGTCACATCACTCTGACGTGCGTCTGTGTGTGTCACATCCCGCCCGAGGGTGCCACTCACGGTGTGACACTCACCTGGGTGCCCATGTCCGCTGCGGCTCCGGGGTAGGCGAGCTCTGTGGTGGTTTAGGGGTCCTTTTGGGTCCCTAGCGGTGCCGGGGTGCCGCGAGGTTCAGGGGACCCGGGGTTTGGGGACCCCTGTCTGGAGGGGACAACGCTCCGAGCCGTCGCCCAGAGGAGCGTCGCCTTCAACCTGGGGTCGCTCGCTGTGTGGGTGAGTGGGTGAGCTGGTGAGTGAGCTGGTGGGTGAGCTGGTGAGTGAGCTGGTGAGTGGGTGAGCTGGTAAGTGAGCTGGTGAGTGGGTGAGCTGGCGAGTGAGCTGGTGAGTTGGTGAGCTGGTGAGTGAGCTGGTGAGTTGGTGAATGCGTGTGTAAGCTGATGAGTGGGTGAGCTGGTGGGTGAGTTGGTGAATGGGTGAGTTGGTGAATGCGTGTGTGAGCTGGTGAGTGTGTGAGTTGGTGAGTGAGTGGGCGTTTGTGAGTGTAAGTGTGTAAGGTAGCGAGTGAACGGCTGAGTGTTTGTGTGTATGTGTGTATATATATATGTGTGTATATGTTTTTATATCTCTGTTTGTATGTATTTGTCTATATGTAAACGTTTGGGCACTTTCCCCCAAAAGTCTGTTAAGGCTATACGGGGGACCTTTGTCTTTGTAAGTCTCGCGCACGCTTCGTGCCCCGCCCCGATCTCTTTTCGCTTCCCTCCGTGGAGGATCGCGGAGGGAACCGCGGAGAGAACCGCGAGAGAACCGCGCTCCCGCCGGGAGCGGAGCGGCGTGAAGAAGACCCTGGCAGGGAGACTCGCCAAGGAGACTCGGGAAGACTTGGAGACTCGTGGAGACTTTTGGAGACTTTTGCAGGGCACGGGCAGACGCGGGCAGACGCGGGGAGACACGTGGAGACTCGTGGAGACGCGGGGAGACGCGGGGAGACGCGTGGAGACACGTGGAGACTCGTGGGGAGACACGGGGACCCTCGCCGCCCTCTCCCTCCCCCTCTGGCCGAGGCGGCACCGTCGCCCGCGCTCCTCTCGGGGGACGCGTCTGGTCGCGGCCACGGGGCGCGCGGAGTGGCGACGCGGCCCCGAGCGGAGCTCCGTGCGGGCGAGCGGGGAGGTGAGGGGGGAGGGGGGGCACATCAAGCGGGGAGGGAGGTAGCGACGGGGAGAGCGATTGATGGAGAGAGGGAGGGAGGGGGTGATGTAGGGAGGGAGAGAGAAAGCGAGTGATCGAGGGGGGGAGAGAGTGATAGAGGGATGATATTCGGAGCGAGGGAGCGAGCGAGTGTTGGAGGCAACTGCATGAGGGAGGGAGAGAGGGAGGGAGGGAGTGTGGAAATGAGTGATGGAGGAAGGGAGACAGCGGCATCAGCTTGGGGCGAGGCTACGCGACAGCGAACGCAATGGGTGCCGCGGGTAACACAAGCCGATCGCTCCCTCCACATCCCCTCTCACGCCTCGTCATCCCTCCACCTTCCGCCACATCCCTCATCTCTGCTCATCTCTGCACATCCATCCTCATTCCCCCTCCTCTCCGCTGGGCCCCGCGGGTTCGCGTGAGACGCGCGTCCAGGAAACACGCGGGGGGGGGGGGCGAGACGCGGTCGCTTGAGGCAAAACTTTAATGGTGGAACCTGGGAGAGGATCCCACGGTGTGGCGCGGCCCCACGTGACCCGACCCGACCCCCAGGCCGTGTCGACCCGGGTGACATTGACGACCCAACGACGTCACCGCCACTGAACTCCACCCCGAGCCATGACCACCCGGCCCCGAGTCGTGACCGCGAGGTTACCCAACGTGCCGCTTCATCTCCGTCCGATGCGTTTGCGGGGGGTGGTTGTGCCGCGGGATTGTTTGGTTGGAGAGGCTCCCGGCGCGGGCAGCGGAACGTCGGACATCGTGCCGAAGAACTGGAGAGAACGCACCGCAAGGCTACACGGCACAACCGCGAACACCCATGAAGTCGTTTCAGTCACGTGACCGCAAAGTAGGTCACGTGACCGCCAAGTCAGTTACGTGACCACTACAAGCCCGAGGTTATGAGCGTCAGTGGCAAAGGGACCCACGTGTAGAGTTGGTCATCATCACCATCATCATCAGCAGCATCACCACCATCACCTTCATCACGAACATCATGGCCACGAATTGAATCCCCGACGATAACAATTATGACGACGAGGATGATGATGACGACGATGATGACGATGATAACGAGGGTGATGATGATGACGAGGATGATCAATTCGACATCACCACTGGCAGATCGGCGCCCGTGAGTTTGGGGCGGTGGTGGTGGCGGTGGCGGGAGCGGTGGCTGAGAGCGCGAGGACTCGAATCCGCGCCCCTCCTCTGCCCTCTCCTGCTGCCCCGATCCTCGCGGGCTGCCGCCACTGTTGCTGGCGACTTGCTGGCGACTTTCATCCGGATTTATTTTGGGGAAAACCCATTTTGCTATCTCCACCACGGCCACCACCGTCATCTCCAACGGCGAGGGGCGGGGTGCAGAAGGGTCGGGGGGTAGGGAGGGGTCGGGGAGGGGGGGCGAGCACCGTGGGCTGCGAGCAACGCACACAGACAGACAAAGATCCCCCGTGTAGCCTTAACAGGCTGTGCGGGGCAAGTGCTGTTAACGAGCACCTATGAACTCTGGCACAGCACACGAGGGGGTGGGTGGCCAACACCACGCCCGGCCGCCTTTGTCCCCCCAGTGCTGATGTTTACACACCGCACCGGGTACTCATTTAAGGCTGAGTCGACCTAAGAAAGGCCCTTGACCGGTTCAAATGTTCACCACTGTTGGTGGCCGTGAGCGGAAATCGAACTCGGGTCGCCGGATTCGTAGCGCAGCGCGCTAACCACTGCACCACCACTCTCGACAAGCACACGCACGTGTACACACACACACATAACGCACACAAACACACACACACGCCGCACGCGCACACACGGCGGTCCGGACGCGCACGGTGCCCCCGCGAGGTCGCGAGGTGAAGTTCTCACCCGGACCCCGTCGCTTCGGAGCTCCGCGCACTCCGTGCTGCCTGCCATGTGGCCCCTGCGGAGGGAGGGGCAAGGAGGTTGTGTGTCGGGGAGGGGGTACGAGGGTAGAGATTGGAGATTGAGGGTCGGGGGAACACGCGACCGACTTGGCACGAGTTTGTTTCAATCCGACTCCGCTCCAGACAAAATGTTGTCCGGTTCGAGTCCCGGGTGACCACCCGGAGCGGGCGGTGTGCATAGCGAGAAGGAGGCAGCCGCCAGCAGTCGCTCGTGTCGACTCTTCCCATTCGAGGGGGGCGGCGGCGTGGAGCGGGGGGGGGGCGGCGTCGTGGCCGCGGGCAGGGCGGGCGGGGTGGAGGCGAGGGGGGCGCGGGACGAGCTTGTGCGGCCACTGCCGGGGTCGGCGACCCGCCTGGACCGCGGACCTCGCCACCAGAGCCCCCCCCCCCCCCGGTGGCCCCTTCGGCGCCGCGCTGCGCGAGCCGGGCTCGTAGTCCACCCGCCCGCGAGGCCCCCCCCCCGCTCAGCGCCGCCTCGGCAGCAGCGACAGCGCCGACCGCGTTGCACCAAAGGCGACGTCAAAGTGGCATCGCCTCTGAGTTGCCCCCACCCCCTCCCCACCTTAACCACCCACACCACGCATCTCCATCCCTATCTTACGATGCGCTTACAAAACGCAGTGTTAAAGGGACACCTGATACAAACGGGGGTTTGTAGGACGTGGGGGCGGGAGGAGGAGGGGGTCACATCCGTGGGGAGGGCGTGGGAGTCGGGGTTGCTTGCATCGTCGATACACAACGTACGGCTACTGACCATGCAAATCGCGCGGCGCGCACACTCGCCCGCTCCCTCACTCGCGCGACGCGAGACGCACCCGCGCCCAGAGTCCAACCGGGTGCATCTCAGTCTCTTCGTTCTCTCTGCTCGGTTGAGCAGCTGTTTCTGTTCACAAGGGAAGCTCCGTTCGGGATCGATGAGAATCATCGCCCCTCTCCCCACCCCCGCTCTGTATGTGTGCGTGCGCGTGTTTGCTGTTGTTGTATGTTGCTGGGTTACATCTTATAAAACACAAACACATATCGACATTGACACCAGGCGCCGGGAAGAGCCCGGCCCGGGAACAGCTTCGCCTCTTCTGGAATTCACCACCATCATCATCAGCAGCATGGCCACGCGTCGGCAGAATCGTCAATTTTCCGTCCGATTTTTGATTTTTTCTGTAGGTGCAAAAACTGGCACGTGTCCGGTTCCTCCTCGTGACCAGCGATGGGAAGAATCAACGAGACGATGAGATGTCCACCTGGCCATCCGTCGTGGCTCGTTCGTGAGGTTTGTGCTCTGGTTTTTTTTTGGTCCGTGATCTGTGATCTGGTTGCGTGAGTTCTGCGGTGGGTGATGATTTGGTGTCGTAGGTGATAATATGGGCGATCATCTGGTGTCATGGGTGTTGATCTTGTTTTCGTGGGTTATCTGGTTTCGTGGAGTATGATCTGTATGCGTGTATACCTGTATGTGTGTGTATGCATCTGTATTTGCAATGTGGTTGAGTTGGTGGAGCCGTGAAGTGCTCAGGCTCCACCGGTTCACAGTGACTGGGCCTCTGTGGTTTAGCACCCGGTGTGTGTGTGGTGGATCCCGTGGAGATCCAGGTGGATCTGGTAGAGCTCCATGTGGATCTGGTGGAGCTCCACGTGGATCTGGTGGAGCAGTAGGGGTCTCGTTTCCCGTGGTCTGCTTTTGCATTCGACTGAGGAGCAACTCGCGGTGGGTAGGGGGAGAAGGGGCTGTGTCCCCCCTCAAGGCTTGCGGCCGCGGGTGGGCTGGTGGGGGGCCCTGTGAGAGCGGGGTCCGAGTGGGTATGATGGGGTCTGAGGGGGTCCGTGCGGGGTCCATCCGGGGGGAAGGCCGGGAGCGGGGCTTGAAGAGGTTCCCCTGGACGGGGTCCCGAGGGAGGGACTCCGTTCCTTGGAGAGCTGAGGGAGAGAGGGACGGGGGAGGAGGAGAAAGAGGTCCGCACAGGTGGATTTACGATCCCAATTTCATTGCATTTTATTTTTAAAAAATGTTATTCTCATCAGACCCCGTGGTATAGAGTTTTCTCTCCAACTCGTGCCCGCTCTACCTCCCTGGCTTCTCAATGTGTTGTGAATATGGGCCATTGCCTGAAACGTAGCCTATTATATACGTTTTCTTTTTAAGGCCAGAGTGTTGTTGAAAAGGAACGTGTAGAGTTATTGTTGTTGACAAGTTGTTGTTGTTGACAAGAGAGTGCTGAGTGGTTGTTGTTTGTGCACCATTGCCAAAGCAGCAGCATCATGGATGGATGCACACACACACGCGGCACGTGTGTGCATCCATCTCCTTGTTCAACCAGGAAAGCCTCTCTGAGTCTCGTGACTCTCTTTCAGGAGGATCCTGCCAGGTTTTCGCAGTAGTCGGGGAAGTGATTGTGGCTGCTGCTGTGTGTGTGTCATCTCAGTGAGTCGACCCGTGGCACCTGGGTCGACCACGTGACCCCCTGCCAGCGGGCGTTCGACACTTCACGTGGCCTCAACGTGCACATAGCCTGGCACAAGCGTCGTGGTGATGTCACCGCCACTTAGTGGCGAATGGCGGTTGTTGTTGTGTGTAATCCCAAATGGAGCAATTTTTGCGGTGTAATTTTTCTAATTTTCGTGAAACTTCCGCACTCTGACGCTGGCACACAATGTGCCTCACGGGATCACGAACATCTACTGCACTGAGTGAAGCAGATGTGCGCGCAGTCGTAGTATTACCGTGGTTAACACCACGCAGCACAGTGTTAACCAGGGCGGCCGCTGGATTCGACCCGCGATCCTCTGCAACGAACGCAAAGAACGCGCGACTGCGAGGCCCCGTCACCGCCTCAAGCACGAATGCGGAGTTCACCTCCTGTTATTGTGAGATCGATTTGATTCCTCTTCTACCCATGATGTGTCTCGGTTCCCCCCCCCAACCAACCCTCCTATCTATCATCAGGCACGAGCAGCGTGTGTGAGCCGATCGTTTAAACACGTGGGAGGGTGGCGATGCCCCCCGAGTCTGTGAACCTCTGGCTCGATACAAAGAATAAACAAATTTTATTTTACCAGGCAAGGCCCGCTGAGCTATGTAGCTCTTCTTTTAAGAAGCGACCTGCCCACAAATGAAAACTTAACGAAGCGGCTTGTCACGTGGACATGTAGAGCAGCCAAACACTCTAAACGCGTGTGTTCTAAACGTGGAGGAGGGGAAACCCGGAGGACCCGGAGAAAAATTCACGCGACCACGGAGAGAGAGACACGCAAACTACAAATATAGAGTAGGCGTCAGGGTCGGGATCGAACCCATGTCCTCCTGTGTACCCGGCGAGGTCGTTAACATCTCCTAGCCACCGTGGCGCCCTGCGCGAGAGGACCGCGGATGATGCATTCTGATTTATATAAATTATTTACATTCTACCGCGGGGAGTCGCATTTTACATTTGTAATCGCCTCTTGTCTGTTTGTTTTTATGCGCGGAAATATATTTGGCTTGCTGGTCGGAATAACTTGGGTTGCATCCCCGGGTCTCCTTAGCCTCAGAGATGGCCCTCGTCTCAGTGAGATCTTAGAATGCTCAGAGCGCGAGTGTATGTAGAACTTCTTTCGCACCGTACATAACCAACGCTACGACCTGCGCATCGCCTAGGTTGACTCGGCCTTAATCGAGTAGCTGGTGCGATGTGTAAATACACATTATCACTGGGGAGACAAAGGCGGCCGGGTGTGGTTGTTGGCCATCCACACCCTCGTGTGCCTTACCGGCCTTCATAGTTGCTACTCGCTAGCATCACTTGCCCCAACAGTCTGTGAAGGCTATGGGAGGGGGGGGGGGGTCTTTGTCTTTTGCAGTTCGCAATCTCAATATGTGTCGTTGTGTGGCATTGTCTGTTGAAGAAAATATAATTGGAAATCCTTCTGTGTCCACGACAAAACTGTCCGCTTTAGTCCATCAGCCTACTGCCATATCTAACAGAGAGGGAAAGTCCTCGCCACGACACATCTGGGCAGTTCACCAACATTGCTTCAAGCAAGCCCGGCTCTGCTGATGAGGCACTGAATGTCGAAACCGGTCACAGACGATAGCCCCTCGACTCCCGCCTTCCTCCACCCCACTGCCCGCTCCAGGTCGCACCCCCCGCACCCCCGCCCCCCCCCCCTTTCTCCTCTCCCCGTAAAAGTGCTCAGGAAGTTTGGTGCAAAATTCCAGCTCCAATAAATCTCCCGTGGCAACAGCAGCGGCAACAAGAGCCATTAGACCGGCAGCCGTGGCAGGAAGCTGTTAGCGAATGGGCGATGTGCGCGCGCGTGTGTGTGTGTGTGCACGTGTTTGTCGACGCGTGTGTTTTACGTGTGCGTGTGTGTGTTTGTCTATGTGTGTGTGTGCACATGTGCACGTGTGAGTGTCTGCCCGTGTTTGTCTATGTGTGTTTGCACATGTGTGTGTGCGTGTGCGCACGTGTTTGTTTATGTGTGTGTGCACGTGGGTGCGTGTGTGCACGTGTTTGTCTATACTGTAGTGTGTGTGCACGTGTGTGCGTGTGTGCACGTGTTTGTCTTTGTGTGTGCGCGCGTGTTGCCTATGGGTGTGTGTGCACGTGTTTGTCTTTGCGTGTGTTTGTCGGTGTGTGTTTCCGTGCGTGTGTGGGGGAGCAGTCGTGTAGTGGTTAGTGCGCTGCGATATGAACCTGGCGAACCGAGTTCGATTCCCGCGCACGCCAACACCAGTGACGAGTATTTGATACCGGTCCTGGACATCCCCTATGTCGACTCAACCTCAAATAAGTACCTGGTGCGGTGTGTAAACATCGCCACTAGGGAGACAAAAGCGGTCAGGCGTGGTGCTGGCTACCCACCCCCTCGTGTGCCGTGCCAGGCCTTGATAGGTGCTCGATAACAGCACTTGCCCCAACAGTCTGTACAGACTATACTGGTGATCTTTATCAGTGACGATTATTTGAGCCGGTTCTTGGCATCCCCTAGGTCAACTCAGCCTCAAACAAGTACCCGGCGCCGGCCAACAGCCCTTGCCCGAAAAGTCTGCTCGAGGCGACATGGGGATCTTTGTATCTGCCAGGAATCTCGAACACCGCGCGGGGTGTTGACGCATAACCTCGCCCCTCGGGCGATTCGCGGCGAGCTAAGAGCGCCCAAAACCTGCCGGGGTTAGGAAAGGTAACCCGGTATTGGCCAAACATCCCCAAAATGATGGTTAAAAATAAACAAAATACATGTGACCACTGGTCACATATATTGGACGAAATGAATTGAAGAAAATGGTGGAGTGGGAATTTTAGGAACATATTTGTCAACTCGCGTAATCGTTCTGGTTGTAACTATCAGCGAGCCGTCGGGTGGTGCTGAAGCGGGCCATATATCAGCCCATGTTTTGTTCACGCGACAAACTTGGCTTAATTGGCGGCGTCGGGTGGAGGAGGGCTCATGACACGAATCGAGACTGTTTTGACGACGCGGTGGCCCCAACCGCGTCGCTCCGCTGCCTCGCGTGCGCGATCGCTCTCGGGGGGGGGGGGGCGGGGGCGGGGGGGGGGAATCCGCGGCACAAATTGCTCCGCTCGCATCCCGCGCCCTCCGCTCCTCTCTCCTGCTCACGATGGGGTTTTTTACTCTATTTTTTTAAACGACAGGTCAGAGGTCAAGTTGGTCTCAGATTGGGTTACCTTCGCGCCCCGCGAATTCCCAGAATGCTTTCTGCGTGGCCACGGCAACCACGAACGGCTGCCCCCCCCCCCCTCTTGGCCAGTGTAAGGGGATGGATGGGAGTTGTGTGGGGATGTGAGGGAGGGGGGAGCCCCACCTCAATTGTTCCACTTTTCACAGGGACCCAAATCACAGGCCCTGCTCTGGGGTTTTGCTTCGAAAGCTGCCATTACGCGGTAATAGCAGCAGCAGCAGCGGCAGGGATGGGAAACGAGGGGGGGGGGGTAGGGGGCCGACGTCATTTTCATGGTCGTCACCATCATCATCATCATGATGAGCATCGCGGTTATCATCGTCACTGCCACGATCACCAGCCTCATCAGATTCATCATCATCATCATCGTGACAACCATCATTATCATGAACATCACGAGGGTCATCTTCGTCGTTTTAAGACTTATCATCGTTATCATCATCACTATAATTACGGTCACCATTAACCCCAACATTAAGACAAAGATCACCCGTATAGCCTCAACAGACTTTTGGGGTAAGTGCTATTAACTGCACACGAGGGCGTGGGTGGCCAGCACATGTATCCCTAGTGGCGATGTATACACACCGCTACACCAGGTACTCATTTGAGGCTGAGTCGACCTAGGTAGGCCCAGGACTGGTTCAGATAATCGTAGCTGGTGTTGGCTGTGAGCGGGAATCGCACTTGTCTCGCCGGGATCGTAGCACAGCACGCTAACCGCTACGCTACCGCTCCCATAATTAACGCGCACACACAGACATACACACAGAGACACACACAGAGATACACACAGAGATACACACAGACACACACACAGAGACACACACAGAGACACACACAGGCATACACACAGAGACACAGACACACACACAGAGACACACACAGACATACACACAGAGATACACAGAGACACACAGACATACACAGACATACACGGAGACACATACACGCATGCGCGCACCTACACGCTCTGAAGAGGACCATCTGAGTTAGATTCCTGGCCACGGCTCATATCAGTGGCGAGCCAAATCTAAACCGCTCCTGTGTCCCTCCGCACTTCTACCCGCACCGACCAGCGTGGTGAAGTATGGTCAAATAACCCCCATTGCGCGATGGGGGTTATTATGGGTTGACAAGGAGGGGGCGGGGGGGCTGTATAGTTCACTGAGAGGCAGCGTAGTTGGGTGGGGGGTGTTGGGGTGGAGTTGGGGGGAGGGGCTGGGGG